CGACTACGTTATCTACAACGCTGGTTCTTTCCCCGCCAACCGCTTCACTGAGGGTATGACCTCCGCCACCTCCGTTGCCATCAACTTCGCCGAGAAGGAGATGGTCATCCTGGGTACCGAGTACGCTGGTGAGATGAAGAAGGGTGTCTTCACCGTCCTCTTCTACGAGATGCCCGTCAAGCACAACGTCCTGACCCTCCACTCCTCGGCCAACGAGGGCAAGGACGGCGACGTGACCGTCTTCTTCGGTCTCTCGGGTACTGGCAAGACCACTCTGTCTGCCGACCCCAACCGTGCCCTGATCGGTGACGACGAGCACTGCTGGACCGACCGTGGTGTCTTCAACATCGAGGGTGGCTGCTACGCCAAGTGCATTGGCCTCTCCGCCGAGAAGGAGCCCGATATTTTCAACGCCATCCGCTTCGGATCCGTCCTCGAGAACGTTGTCTTCGACCCCATCTCCCGTGTTGTCAACTACGACGACTCCACCCTTACTGAGAACACCCGCTGTGCCTACCCCATTGAGTACATTGAGAACGCCAAGATCCCCTGCTTGTCCGACAAGCACCCCTCGAACATCATCCTCCTCACCTGCGACGCCCGTGGTGTCCTTCCCCCGATCTCCAAGCTCACCACCGAGCAGACCATGTTCCACTTCATCTCGGGTTACACCTCCAAGATGGCTGGTACTGAGGACGGTGTCACCGAGCCCCAGGCTACCTTCTCCTCCTGCTTCGCCCAGCCCTTCCTGGCCCTGCACCCCATGCGCTACGCCCGCATGTTGGCGGACAAGATCTCGCAGCACAAGGCCAACGCCTGGCTGCTCAACACCGGTTGGGTTGGTGCTGGCGCTACCACCGGTGGTAAGCGTTGCCCTCTCAAGTACACCCGTGCCATCCTGGACGCCATCCACAACGGCTCCCTCAACCAGGTTGAGTACGAGACCTACGATGTGTTCAACCTGCATGTTCCCAAGACCTGCCCCGGTGTTCCTTCCGAGCTCCTCAACCCCAAGAACAGCTGGACCGCCTCGACGAACTTCTCCGACGAGGTCAACAAGCTTGCCAAGCTGTTCAACGACAACTTCGGCAAGTACGCTGACCAAGCGACGCCCGAGGTCATTGCGGCCGGTCCGGTGCCTCAGTAAATTGTTTCCCCTTCTGTTCTTCCATTTCCTTTTATCTGCTTTTGATATCTTGCATGGCGTGCTGCGTTTCCAATCATGGGTCATCTGAATCTTCCACTACCATGTGTGGCCTACCCCGGCCGGCGGGGAAAATACCATTGGCATTTCCTTTTGGGTTTTTGCTTCATTAGAAGTCGAGGTAACGATTAGAAATTGAATTCAAAATATACCTTCATCAACTATCTACTACGTAAATGAATTGTCTAAGAATTACCGTAGCAAGCCTTGAATCCACAGCGGGTCACGGGGATGAACCGGGGTCGATCTTTGGCTCCACATGTGATCGCCGTTTAGCGTCTCCGACTTGTTCCTTCTTCTCTGCAACGCTGCTCTCCATCCGTATGCCATCTGCAACTGCTATAGCCATCAAGTCTAACAAGTTTCACATCAAGGCGTTCTTCAGCCAACCTCCTTGCCCCTTAGTTTTGAACATGCAAATTTAGTTGCAAGCTGCACGCCGATGCGAATGAGCTCTGTACGCTTGCATCAACAGACGTACTTTAGTCTCCGGGGAGAGACTTTGCAATGACTGGCCTACACTTAATGTTGCTTTTCTTAAACTTATTACATCCTACGTCCCGTGCCATCAGAACCATGTTTTCACCCCTGGTCCTCCGACTCAAACAAGGGATGTAATGCAAACATCAGAATGTCAACAAGATAATGCCCTTACCTCTTTACGATGGATCTTCATAGGACTACTGGGACAATTGGAAGATTTCCCTCGACTCCTGGGTGCCCTACCTCCACAATAGTAATCCAGCATCTACAACTCGAAAAGTGGACGGGAAGGTTGGTTGTTAGTCATACCATTGAGACATTACTGACAGAGATTTGCTATCTACGTTCGAGGACAAGACCTACGAAAGGATATCGACTACAGAGTGATACAACAGGGACGAGAAATCTCTTTACCGTGACGTACTCAACTGAACAGGCTAAGTTGAGTAACATCATCGGACCTGGTCCTCAAGCGCCGCCAACCGGGGGTTCGAACCGAGCTTCTGTCGCATGTTCATAGGTTCCCCGACGCCCTCTATCTCGCGCAGTCAGATGGGGATGGCAGCTCGTGGGGACGCCAATGATCGTGTCAGATTGGTGCAGCTAATTTGCGTTCGAGGTTATCATCCATCTTGTTCGGCAAGCCTGTAATCTGCTCGGCAGCCAGCAGTCCCAATATAGTTGGTTCGCGCTATCATCGCATGGTCAATAGCATGATGGCAGACGCGGCGAGTATGTCCATATGCGTCTTCAGTCGGTTGACCAAGGCCCGCCGTTGCTGTCCGGTCTCCTGTTTCGGTAAGTGCTAATACTCAGATTCGGATTCCACTTCCGTCAACCTAAGCGCAAGTCTTTTACCTCGCAACTACCTCATAATATGAGAAACTGGCGTACGAGATACGGAACGCAATTCCCACGGCAGCGATATCCGCAGCGGCCCATTGATGCAGCAATGTACCTACATTCAAGCATGCAACAAGGAGAAGCTACGCATCTCACCAGCCGTGGCAAGATGTCCGTACCATCGAGTCGAGGAATACGACACAATCAGATCCTAGCCGGGGGGCAGCGTCGGCACATACGTTTATAATATCCACAGCCTGCTGCATTGCCCTGGCCAAACAAGTACCTCCCGGAACGATGGCTGCCCAACGAAGCAGAGTCAAAGACACATCAATCTCGGCGTTAGCTCGGCGACGTGTGTGCATTGGGCAACATCTAGCGCCGTTGGAGCTCCAGATGGTGTTGGCAAGTATCACGTGGAGTTGCGACATGCGAAGACCAGCCACGATCGCCGCAATAATGGGGGCAGGGCACGCGGGGCGGGCATTGGGCGAACGAACGCGCAGAAATTCCAACTTTACGACCACATCATCAGCAAGAACGAGGGCGGTCATTCAATTTCGGCCGCGCGGGCACACTTAGCAGAAGAGAAACCGAGTCGGCTATTCCGCCGGATACAAGGAGCAATATAGGCCGCCAGATGAAGAGATGATAGCCTGCAGGTGACATTACTCCGATATGAGACGGGCAATCCAGCGAGAATCGGCTGTTTTCTTTGCAGCTCGCTTGTGGCAGGTAGTCCCCACAGACAGGATCGTAGTCTAAGCCCCAGTAGCTAATCCGCCTGGGGGCCTGGACCTCCTGACAGGGTAACCGGCCAGTCAGCACGCTGCTGATTACTCCTTGCTGGGTCCTGTCCCGGGAGAGTACCCGAGGGATAGAAGTGAATCTCACCGCGCGCGACTACCGATACCCGCCTCACCCGCTCCGGGATCCCGAGATGTGCTGCCGCCAGGGGGGAGTGGTTGCCGCGAAGGTATCCGTCGGCCCAGTTCATCCACTATCTAGGATGCAGTATGGAGAAAGTCGTGTCTTATTGGGATAGTTGGGGATAGGGAGGACCCTTTTTTGGAACTGTAATTCCGATACGACGTGTATTACTACTAACTAGCTAGGTTTGATGGGTCTGTTGTTGTAGGTAGATGTAGATTCCCAACAACTTGTTGACCCTGGAGGCAGTGAGCTAGGAGATCAGTGCTCCGGCATACAGCCAACAAACCCTTCCAACCGAGTCATCCACCTTGCCGGTTACTTGACTGGGACCCTGCGATTCGATCATAGTTGCTACGCCACTGAAGTGCGTAGTCATCACATTGTCACTGAAGTGAGGACGGAGGAGATCTTCTCCGGCTGACAGTGGCAGGCAGCACGGGGGAAGATCCGAAAGTCGGAGGAATCGGGAGAAAGGAGATAATCCAGCATACAGTAGGGAATCTGAATATGATTATTCCGGGTGTGCATTATTGTTCGTGTTACTGATGTTGTGAGTGATACCATGTTTCTATTGCTGATTCTCTACTAGTATTCACAACGGCAGTTGATAGGTATACTGGTGTTTGGTGAAGTCGAAAAAAAGAATATGTTATACGACCAGATTTCTCCGAAGTAACAGACAGTACCTACCTTAGACTGATCGACGAGACCAAGCTTTGGAAAATAATAATATTATTATTCAGGTTGCATTACTATTACCGACATTACTAACCCACTTGGCAAACTGGGGAAAGAGGAGATAGGAGATAACCTCGGGAAGGCGGCAAGAAGCAGCGCAAACCGGACCGTTCTCGTGGTTAGACCCGATTGGGTTTAGTGGGGGTGTGGGGAGATTACGGTAATTACTTTATGTACGTATGATGGATGATTATTCCCCGCCATGACGTTTTGGTATTAGCTTGCTGTTTGTATCTGATTTCTTTTTTTGTTGGATATTTGCAATACACGGCATGTTTGGAAATAAATTGTACTGTTATGAGAAGAGAGAGACAGTTATCTATTAAAAGAGACAAGAATAACAAATTCATCATAGACACAAATCATATGAAAGGAATATCATCAGACGTGGCAACCCCGCATTTTCCAGCTGGCGGCATCGTGCAGCAACTACTATACTACTCTGAATCATATACTAAATCCTCATCGATCGCTCGGGCCTTAAGTTTGGCATCGGCTAACTTGAAAGTGGGGATGGAAACAGTTGCCCAGTCTGGAGAAGATTATTCAACTGTCAGTCAAGTAATTACTACTTCTTACTGCTGGATTTCATGGTCGGCTTCTCGGATAGAATCAATGGCATACAAATACATCATCGAATCCCCGTCAATGCTACCTTGACTCATGCATCAAGTTATTATAAGTATCAGAATCAACCCACCCAAGATACTTGCTTTGCTTGCTTGCTTGCTTCCAGTTGTACAACCTTGCAACAAATTAATCCATTCACTGCACAACACACACTCTCTCGCCTCCTCACTTCTTCCTTTCCCATCATCTGACCGTTCCAACTTGTCTAACTCTCCTCCAAAAACCGGTTCACCACTTCCTACTCATTCTCGTCGGGCCTTTTCGTGACTTCGACCGGGTTCCCCTCATTGTCCAGCTTGTGCTTCCACGGTACGTCGAATCTCCCCTCCCGCCCTTTTCACGTCACGGTCGGTCATGCTGAGTGCCTGGCAAAGAAAATCTGTCTTTTTTTCTTTGCTCCGCCAGGCACTCGTATCCTTATGGCTAGATGGTCTTTTCTCCCTACCCCCACCGCGTATCGTGTTATCTGTTGATTCGCGTTTCATCCTTCGTTCATCTGCGTTCCTCCTCTTAAATCCTTCGTTCGGCGCGTCTCATCCGCCCTCACTCCTCAAAAGTCTCCGCATTAACCCTCGTTGACCTCTCTAGATTTGGTGTGAATCCTGCTTCCTCGTCAACATGGCCTCCCCCACCGCGGCCAAAGAGCCCCAGCCCGCCGTGGATTTCCTCCATCACCCCTACACTCGCGCTGCCCTTCCCTTCGTGAACGGTGGCCTTGCCGGTATGACTGCCACGGTCGTGATCCAGCCCATCGACATGATCAAAGTCCGTCTGCAGCTCGCTGGTGAAGGTGTGCGCACCGGTCCTCGCCCGTCTGCCTTTGGCGTGGCCCGCGACATCATTGCCTCAGGCAAGGCCCTCGATCTGTACACCGGTCTGTCGGCTGGACTGCTGCGCCAGGCCGTCTACACCACCGCCCGCCTGGGATTCTTCGACACCTTCAGCAAGACTCTCAACAAGCGTGCCGAAGCCGCCAACCGCAGCGTCACCTTCGCCGAACGTGCCGGAGCCGGTCTCGCTGCCGGAGGTATTGCCGCCATGATTGGCAACCCGGCCGATCTAGCGCTGGTGCGTATGCAGTCCGACGGTCTCAAGCCTCCCGAGGCGCGGGCCAACTACCGCTCCGTCATGGACGCGCTTTTCCGCATCTCCAAGCACGAAGGTGTCCCGGCTCTGTGGGCTGGTGCTTTCCCCACCGTTATCCGTGCCATGGCACTCAACGTCGGCCAGTTGACCTTCTTCGCCGAGTCAAAGGCCCAGCTGAAGAAGCATACTAGCCTGTCGACTCAGAACCAGACCTTTGCCGCGTCCGCTATTGCCGGATTCTTCGCCAGTTTCCTCTCCCTGCCTTTCGACTTTGTCAAGACCCGTCTGCAGAAGCAGCAGAAGGATCCTAAGACCGGTCAACTTCCCTACAAGGGCGTCTTGGATTGCGCGCGCAAGGTCGTCCAGGAAGAGGGCTGGTTGCGGTTCTACCGCGGTTTCGGAACGTACTATGTGCGGATCGCTCCTCATGCGTTAGTGTCTCCACCTTTTGCTGTTAGTTACTTAGTAGTGCCGTTGGCTAACCCCAGACCCACAGGATGGTGACGCTTATCGTGGCCGATTATCTGAACTTGATTACCAAGTAGGGTGCAGTGCTTCAGTATGATGTTTCGCTCGTCGACAACTACTTGAGTTGACTTGACTTCAATGCCGCGGTTTCTGTCGTTCGATGATGATTATTGCACAGGTGCGGATCTGGTTGCACTGTCTGGAACAGATGCAGGAGAAGATCGAAATGCCCTAATGATTGTGGACGGAGGATGGTGTTTCGATGGATGGTTGATGTTGTTTCAATGGCTGTTTGTATTTATTACACCCGTGTTTTGCAGCTACCTAGTGATTTTAAGTAGAGATAGGCAATAAAAAGTCTACTCTGATACCAGATCAATCGTATGAAATTGAATCACTCATCATACATAGAATCATACCCTTCCCCTTCTTCCTCTCCATCCAAATCAACTTCCTCAACACCGACCATCGACCCCGCCCTCTCCTGCTTAATCCTAGCAGCAGCGGCAGCAGCAACAGACATCCCCCTCTCCCTCTTGACTCTAATCCTCTCCTCCCCATCACCACCACTATCATCCCCATCATCATCATCCCCATCATCAACCTCAACCGCCCTCCCCCTCCTCCCCCTCCTCTTCCTCTTCCCCCCACCACCGCCCCCCACCTCATCATCCTGATCACCATCACGATCCTGATTCTCCCCCAACATCTCCCTCTCCCTCTCCCTCAACTCCGCCATCTCCGCCCTCTTCACCCGTCTCACCAACACAGGATCACTCCGCAGATCAAACTCCGTCAACTGCACCTCGCACACCGGACACTTGACGCTGCGCACGCGCTTCCTCGCTCTCCCACAACCACCTCCAGATCCAGATGATCCCCGCGGATCAGGCACCATCTGATTACTCCCGCTGATCATGGTGTATATCGCCTCGCGCTCGAAACTATGTGGGCATTTCGTGCTGCTGACTGGGTCGCGGAAGGGGAGGAGCGTCAGTGGACATTTTAGCGATATGCGTTCGGTTTGGATGGCGATTTCGTCGTCTTCGGAAGCAGAAGGGGAGGGATGGCGGGGGTGAGAGCGGGTGGTGGTGGTGGTTTTGGTTTGTCTGGTGGATGTAGATGTGGTGGTAGTGGTGGAGGTAGATGGATGGTGGTGGGATGGAGGTTGTGAATGGGGATCTTCGAGATGAGAGAACCATGTTGATGGGTGAGGTGGAGGAGGGATCTCGTCGCCGATGTGTTTCGCTTCGTGGATGATCTTGTAGAAGCCGATGTAGGAGTTGTTGGTTGTGTAGCTGCCCCAATCTGTGTTAATTACCTTGCAAGATATGGTATTATGGAGATGGGGGAAATACCGTCTCGTCAAACTCATCCCATTGTACTCCTCCATCTTGCCCTGTAATTCTCCCTCGAACTGCGCCAGGAATGGCACCGCACCCTCTTCATCCTCTTCTGCATCCCCACCTTCCTCTTCTTCCCCTTCCCCTTCCTCTTCCTCACTACCATCCTCATCACCCCTCCCCCTCCTCCTCCTCAACTGCACCCCCCTCTGACTCCTCCTCACCCCCCTAGCCCTCATCCGTTCAACAACACCCCCCTCCAACCCCGCAATAACCCTCCCAACTTCCTCCCCACGCACCTCCTTATCAATAACCCCCCGAATAGTCTCCTCCAGGACCTTCGTCGTCGCTTTCACTCTCTCCTCGAACTCTTCAATCCCACCCTCCTCATCCTCATCCTCACTTCCATCCCCCTCACCATCACCATCATTGTTATTCTCACTCGCAGAGCGCTGTCGCAAGTTCCTTTTCCTCTCCTTGGCCTTCTTACTCCGTTCCTTCGCATCCGTTAACCGCTCGTTAATCTCTCCCGCCGCATCGGTGAGTTTCTCCTGGGCGTGCTGGAGATGTGTTTTCAGGGTGGAGGAGGTGTGTGTTGCGAGGAGGGCGGAGAGGGCGGGTGCGGTGGTGGGTTGCTGGGATAGGGTGGTTAGGGTGCTGGTTGGGGGTTCGTAGGGGGGGAGAGGGGGGGTTGATTCTCTCTCTCGGTCTCTTCTTCGGGGGGTGGTGATGGGTCGTTTGGGCATTTTGGTGTGGATTTGCTTTTCTTTTCTTTTCGTTGAGGTGAGTGAGTGAGACTGAGGGTGTGGTGTGGTGTGGTGAGTGTAGTCCAAGTGGGTGTGGGTGTGGGTGGTGGGTATAGGTGAGAAGGGTGAGAGAGGGGTATATGGTATATGGTATATGGTGAGTTTCTTTGTTGTATGTTCTTTGAGGCTAAATATTAATCGATGGATAAAGATAAGTTGAAAGACGCGACGCGATGCGATGCGTGGCGCTAGGCTGTTTTGGGAAGGGTTCTTTATCTTATCGATATCGTTGTAACTACTACGTACTCCGTACATTCTATGAATGGAGTAGGTATAGATATGTCCATTACATCCTATTTACCCTCATCTAATACTATGTATCCATCACACCTTGTAGAAGCAAAACGCATGGTAGAAACCTGCCCTGTTAGCGTACACCCTCTCCAGCTGCAGTAAAGGAATACTCACTGACTGCCTCCTGCTCCTCCGGCGTCATCGTCAACTCGCCCGTCGTGCGATCTCTCACTCCCATCCGCTCGCTCAACGGCCCCAGCTCCGGATCGTCCTTCTCGTCCCGCCACACCTCCATGAACGGCTTGCGGTACTGCAGCTCCAGATTGTATTCCTCCGTCAACCTGCTTCATTAGTATCGTAAACCATAGTTCGTGGTCTTGGGATGGACTCACGCTCGGAATGCCTCCCACGGCACCACATACTCCGGGATCTCACCCACCGCTTCCTCCATAAAGTAGCTGTACTTCCATCCGAACGGCGGCCTGAAGATGCCATCCTCCGGCGTATCCCCAGGGAATTTCACCCGATAGATCGAGTTCCCCCATTCTGCCTTGGCCTCCTCCTCCACCTCACCATCTTCCGGCTCAGCATCCTGCTTCGCCGCTTCACGGTCCTTGCGCTTGGCATTGAACTCGGCCACACGGGCACTGATAATGTCCGAGTTAGGACACACGCCGATAAACCGACCACCCTTCTTCAAACACCCCGCGACATTGCGCAGCATCTGTCGCGCCTTCTCTTCACTCTCAAACGCATAATGAATGGCAAACATAGACGCCACCACATCAAACCCACCCCCACCCCATCGCGATGCCATCATCGACCCTCCCGGTCCAACATTCGGATCCACTCCTACCTGCTGAACAATATCAATATCCCCCAACCACTCCCCAAAGCAATCCTTCGACCGGAACTCGCCATGAAACAACGGCGGTCCTCCCCTCCGTCCACCACCACGAGGGCCCCTGCCCGAACGCATCCCCGCATACCGCTCGCGCGCCTGTATAATCGACACCTCGGCCGGATCCAATCCCACGTACAGATCCACCGGCTGCGGCGCAAGCTGCCACTTGCCCAGATCACCTCCCTTACCACATCCCAAATCAATCACCAGCAACCGTTTCTCCTCCATCGGCGGCGGCCCAGTCCCATCTGCCCACTCCTTCGTCCCAATCGCCCGCGCCACAAACTCCTCATCCGGCGAGAACTTCTGAATCAACGTACTCTTCACCCAATTATTGAAACTGCGTAGCCCCTTAATCTTACTCTCCGTCTTGCGCCACTCCCGGCCCCGCTGCGGAACCGCATTGTAATGCTGTCTCACGATATCCGTCACGCCCCGGCTCTGCGAGTTGCGCATCGCGTCTTCCTCCAGCGCGCGCTCCCGCTCCTCCTGTCGCCGCCGCAGCGTCTGCGGGTCCACGAGACCTCGTCGCGCTCCACCACCGGGCCGTTTCCGCTGACGCGCCTGCACTTCGGGCGACGGAGACCGCGGAGGAAGGGGCGGTGAGGGGGATCGGGGCTGTGGTGCTGCGCGTGCTGCTGTCTCGTCGCCATCGCGGCGCGAGTAAGCCGAGGGAGGTGCCTGGCCGCGTTTCCGGAGCTTCTGGTGTCGTTCTTCGAGTCGCTTACGCTTTGAAATGGGACGGTCGTTCGCTTGGTCGGCGGGTGGCTGCTGCTCCGATGTCTCGTCCTCGAGCTTGCGCTTGTGGCTTTCGGCCGCAGGAGAGCTCTGCTCGGCGTAGACATCGGCAGACCCAGAGCGAGAGTAGTCACCCATCTTGTTTATCTTGTGTTTGCGACGTGATTGAGAGGATGGAGGTGTCGGGATAGAAGGCTGCTTCTGCTGCTGTTGCTGTTGCTGTTGCTCCGGTTGTTGAGAAGGATCGGTAGCGGCGGTTTGGGGAAGAGGAAGAGATTCGCTCGTAGAAGTCACAGTAGGATCATGAACCTAATGGAGAAACCCAATGAACATCCACAATCAGCGTCAGATATCCTGCAATGGAAAGAAGATGGAACACTGAAAAAAGAATGTCGCGAGACAATCAGACGCGCAGGAGCATTTTCTTTTCGGAGTCTTTTATTTGCGGGAAGAATAAGTAATCACCGCCTCCGCCGAGCGTAAGCGCCACTTTAGTTCGCAGAGGACTCCACTTGCTCTCTCCACTGTAAAGAACTCTGTACTGAATCTAAAAAGGAATGACTAACTCACCGGTTTGACTTCCTCTGTCTGGGATGGTGGTGCTTCGATCGAAGCAGAAGCCGACGCTGGTTCAGCAGCAACTACAGGCTGCTCCTCCCAGCGGTCTCGGGCGGGATCGTACATGCTGATGCTGGGCCGTTGGCCTGTGCGCTGTTCCTCTTCGGAGGCCATATTCAAGTGAGACGGAAGTGAAAAGGGATAGATAATAAGATACCTCCCATGAAAGGGGTAGTAGTAAACTTAGTAGCAGGGATAAAGCAAGTTGAAGTCAAGACGGAATTCAAGCTGCTTTAAGTTGAGTTTCCTTGGTTGAAACCCCTGCCTTGAACCGTGTTTCCTGCCTGGCCGGATGCGGCCTGTGAATGGAGTGAAACAGTAACGGTAGATGCCTACCATCATTAATCACTACATGACATCCGACTATTCAGTGTGGAGTAACACAATCCTGTAGTGAAATTTATCTAGCTATCTATCTCTTTGTGAAGAGGAGACGATATTGTGGGATATGTGTTGTGAAACAATCTAATGGTCCTGTTCCTCCCAGTCTATCTAGCGGTTCTTGTCCTTCCCCTGGGGGAAACTCAATGTCGAAGTGTTTTACGATTGTGGAAACGAGTAGTCGCATCTCCATCATCGCGAATGCCTTTCCTGCGCAGGAGTAGGTGCCGCTGGAGAACGCGTTGAGTGCTTCTTTGTGGATGACTAGCTCTGGCTGCGTGGACCATCTTTCTGGGATGAACTCGTCTGGACGGGGGAAGTTGCGCGGGTCTAGACGTAAAGATGTCAGCGAATATTTTCACCAAAAAGGTAAATATTCTACCTCGTTGAACTGTATACGTCGGCACAGACACTATCATCCCTGGAGGTATATAGACTCCCGCCGTTCGAAGCCCTTCCGGCCCTGTCTCGCGCTGCAATCCGCTCAAAACAGCTGGACACAGACGTAGACTCTCATTTATACACCCCTCCAGATACGGCTTCTTCACCAATGCCGCATGACACAGCTCCTCCCCAGCTGGCACAGCAGAGTCTATCTCCTCCTGGAGCTGACGTAGCTTCTTTGGATGTCGTGCCAGGAGATAGAACAAAGCATTGAGGGTACTGGCAGCCGTGTCGCTACCAGCCGTAATAGCGAGCTCTGAATCGCGAACAAGATCCCCATCAACGCCACCTATAGACTGGTCTCCCTCAGAGCTTGACTCCTCGATCAAATAGCTGAAGAGATCCCGACGATCAGTTTCGACCTGAACCACATCAGCCTAAACCATTCGCAACTGACAATAGACAGTAAATGCAAACATACCCTACTCCTTTCCTCCACACACTGCGCACACCACTCCAACCATCTATCCGTAAAGCTCCTCACACCCACCATCCCCCGCATAAATATAACCAGCCAAATCGAGCTCAACAAGGCACTTGCCCCGCGCCCCATCTTCCTCATCATCTGCAGCATCTTCGGCGGCTCCCCATGCAGCATATTGAACGATTTCCCAAACGCAAATATCCCCATCGAGTCCCATGCAAACCCATCAATTAGCGCCGTGGTCTCCTGTGCTTGCGATGATCGGGATTCAATAACCTGGACTATATTTTTGCAGTGCTCTAAGAGATATGGTTCGTAGCCGGCGAGTGCTAGTCATATCAATCAGCGAAACAATCTGTCAGATACGTGTGAGACCTACCTACCCTTCGACGTAAACCCCCGATCCCATAACCTCCTCCTCTTCGAATGAAACACCTTATCCCTCGCCATCTGCAATGATCGGTGCGGATAATGTAGATCGTAGAACGGTCCCTTGACGCATGTCGTACCCACGCCGTAGATGTCTTTTATCGCAGATGGATTGTTGATCGAAATCTCCCTAGGTTCTATCTAATCCGTCAGAGATTGTACAAACCACACGAGAAACAAAGGGAGAGGGAGATACTAATCCGAACAACATCCCCATATACCCCATGCAACTCCTTCACTTTAAGATACCATTTCGCATCCATCACTGTATTCCTGAAATCCCACAACGCGGTAATCCTTGCCAACCTCGGACCTGGGAACCCGCCCAGCGCGTGGAAGAAGTATCGATAGATCGCTATAGAAGCTAACAGTGAGGAGTGGAAGGTTAGTATCGCTAGTCCGATCCATTGGGATATCTCTATATATCCGAGGATGAAGAGGGCGAGTAGACCGAGTAAGGACCAGAAGATGAGGCAGTTGGCAAGGAAGACGACGTGTTTTTCAAGGTCAGCGTGGATGAAGTAGGTTAGATGGGCGGTGATGCCGAGGATGGCGGAGATGAGGGCTGTTGGGAGGAGGGGTGGAGTCATTGTGTTGTATTTGGGAGGATGAAGCAGAATCAGAACTTAGAAGGATGAGGGTAATGGTAGGGGCGTGTATGAGGGATGAATCTAGTACAGGGGAGGTAAGAAACCCTGGTTGTTTGATTGTGGGTAGAGTATGGAGAGACTATGGCAGGTCTGACAGCTGATGCATAAGCTCTGTTTGTTAGCTTCAAGACAGTGAGCATCTGCACAACAGACTAATCATGCGAGCAAGTACCGCTCCACAGAGCTTGTACATAGACAACGGACACGAATCACACTGTCGCGAAGATGGCTGGGTAGGAGGAATAATGGCTAGGGTGAGCGCAGCGCCAGCACCACCCGGATATTGGGCAGTGATGTTGGCGAAGTAGGATACTCCAGCTGATGGTGGTCTGAATTGTAACATGGTTCATGCACGTACCCCTCTGTGGCTTGCTTGATGCTACCACAACCTGCTCGGACTATATCTATGGCCTTACTCCATCCGAAGCAGGCTGTACGGTATTCCAGGTCAATGTAAGTCTCGAAGCTGACAGGAACATCGACACACCAGTCCATAGCTCAATGAATGAACTGAACTCAACGTATAAAGGTTGATATATGCTGTTTTGATCTACCGTGTATGTATGGCACAAATTAAACCCACAACGTGTCCCAAATAGTATGATCCTTCGAACCTCATCCCAGAAGTGAAACCGTATACCTCAAAATAAGAAAATGCTATGTCTGCTGACTCTTTAAATTCATCTTCTCATTCCGTCCCCAGATAGCCAGCCAGTCCTGGACCGAAGCACTCGCCGACTTGAGCTCCTTGAAACAAGCATTGCGCACTCTCTCACTCTGGATCACAGCAAGCGCCTTTCGAATATTGCGCGGTGAGCTGGTCTCCAAAGCACTGGCGACCCAATGCCCTTCGGGAGCTTCCAGCGCGAGGATAATAGGAAACGAGAGCTCTCGATTTCGCAGGTCTTCGGCAAGCGCCCCTTTGGCCTTGGCATATTCGGATGAGTAGACATTCTTGCAGTCATTCTGCAGCTGAGAGCACCAACTAACTCAGGTCAGCTTTCGGCTCCTGCTAGATATGGTAGATTTGTAAGGAATCAAACGAGGCATACGCAAGAGTAGTCATCGTCCCGTCCATCGATTGGTCCTCCATCACCAATTGCCCCAGCAGCCGGAATAACGCCCCTGTTTTCAATGACGCCATTTTGCGATAGGCTGCAACTCGCTCCTCAGGAACAGTTGAAAGGCTACCCAGTCCATCCCGTCGCCAGATTAGTGACAGGTCTTGGCCTTCGAGGATTTCTTCCAGATTCTGGAGCAGGAACTTGGCCAGCTTTGGGAACTTTTGCACGGTCTTGTTGAGAATCTGGGTGACTCGGTAGTAAGCGCGATTTGCTGTCTCTGAAGGGCCATATATTCGGTGAGCTGCTGGCTTGCCTTTTCGATAGTCGCTATTGTCAGTTATCTGCTTGATGTTAGAGTGTAATTAAATAGATTCAAGGTATACGTACATCGTCAACTAGCATCAGACACAGGTGGATTGCATCCATTATCTCCAGCACCATCTTATATTTCGCCGGATCCTCATCCTTGAGCCTCGGAGACAGCTTCTGTACGAATGGCTCCCAGTGATACTTCCCATAGATCTGACGGATGTAGGCATATGGGCACTCGAACGATGTCACGGTCTCCGGGTTCTTCTTGCCAATCAGGAAAGCTTTGGAATTTGGCCACAAGGGACCTATTCTATCAAGGGCGAGATAGAAAATTAGAGGGGCAATGCCTAGGGTTGCCACCAGAGGGATGGGGATGGAGGCAACGTCCGGAAGTGCCGCCATGATTCGGTCCTCCCTGAGTGGGACGAAGTGCAAGGATGAGAAAATTAACGGATGACAGCGCGGTACTCCGATGAGCTCGCAAAGGGACGCTGTCCTGTCTATATATGTATGCTATGGATAGGATACTTCAGCCGTACACACATCATCAAGGGCTCAGGGTCCCCTCTGGATAAATTGTTGCTTCGCACAAGTTACACCATCTCCTTTTCAGTGTGGTTGAGCCGGCCAGAATGGTTGTTGCCTGACTCTCGCTGTAGAGAGAAGCTGACAATTGGGTATGGCGACATGCCTCCAGCGGCACGACAGGAGATACAGCCTTTGAAACCTGGTGCACTCCCCTGGCTGTCTTGCAGGTCTTTGAGCGGCCTGAGAATAGCACACCGGTAACACATGATCACCGAGACTCCTAGTGGTCCTACCTGGTACAGACATCAGTCCACTCATATGGAATGACAGGGCTTCATGGCATACCGTCAGGACCAGGGCGCCGTAGCACTAAGTGACCGCAAGCCATCTCACTATATAAGCACACTCAGGTCATGCAGAACGCAAGTGTCCCAGATCCTGACGTCGACCGAATCTCTATAAGCATTGAATCGCCTCTTCGTATCGCTTCAATGGATGGGTTCGACCATTCTACTGCTCCACCAGAATATAACGAGCTAAAATGGCTCGCCGATATCTTCGTCATCGGAATGGCTGTTGGCTGGGTTGCTCACTATGTGGAGATGATTCACACGTCGTTCAAGGACCAAACATACTGCATGACCATCGGGGGCCTTTGCATCAATTTTGCCTGGGAAATTGTATTCTGCACAATGTATCCTGCCAAAGGATTTGTCGAGCGGGTTGCCTTTCTCATGGGCATTTCTCTCGACCTTGGGGTTATTTACGCGGGAATCAGGAATGCCCCAAATGAATGGCACCACTCTGCAATGGTGAGGGACCATATGCCCCTCGTCTTTGCAGCGACGACACTTTGTTGTCTGAGCGGTCACATGGCTCTTACTGCCCAGGTTGGTCCCGCACAAGCCTATACGTGGGGGGCAATTGCATGCCAGCTCTTTATCAGCATAGGGAATGTGTTTCAATTGTTGAGTCGGGGAAACACACGAGGGGCGTCATGGACGCTATGGTAAGCGTTGGTTTGATCTGTTCAGGTGCTTTGCTGGGCTAAGTAATCACTAGGATCTCCAGATTTCTTGGGTCAACATCAGCCATTGGCTTTGCCCTTGTTCGATATATTCGCTGGTGGGAGGCCTTTTCTTGGTTGAACTGCCCGCTTGTGCTATGGTCCGTAGTCATGTTCTTTCTGTTCGAAATTCTATATGGTGTGTTATTCTATTCTGTCAAGCGACAAGAAGGAAGATCCCAGCGTGGAATCAAGCACAAGGAGAGGTAGATGCTTTACCTGAGGTATTGCGCGTTGTATACGCAAGTATGAGCTGCGGGAAGATTCTATATCACCGGGATTGGTAGCCAGGAACAGTACGGAGATAGATGAGTGTGTATAACACAGTGATATATCCTGGCGGAATGGCGGAGAAAGTTCACGGTGTTGTACCACTCTTTGTGGTGCTCTCATGAGAACGGAGTTTCTGCTTGTCATGTAATAGATATGTTTAAGCCGATAAAGTCCATCACCCATGATAGAATAACGCAGTTGATATACTGTCTTCACATATATTGCTATCCTTGGGTAGAAATAAAAGTAAAGCATTCTGCCGTTCTGCCACTTTGGATTGCAAGTAGACGATGGCATAATGAACAGCCACGCTGGTGACACAGCAACTATTAGTCAAGCGCATGTACCACGGGGCTGGCTTGCATAAGCCCGAAGTAGCTTGACTACGCAGTTATGCCACAATGCCAGTGCTGGATGTCACTTGAAGTCCAGTCGCTCCAGCAGTGAGAATAGCAAACACTTGGCTTGCCGTACAGTTTGAAATCCATCTGCCTCAGGCTCGATATAATTCCAGTCAACCAGATAAACACAATATATATACCATACACAGGACTTAGCTTCAATTAGGCTTTGTATCTGGCGTTTCTCGCAAGTATGGCCAATACCCAGCAAACCCCCTTTCGCGTCCTTATTGTGGGCGGTTCTGTCGCAGGCCTCACCCTTGCGCACTGTCTCGAACGCGCCAATATCGAGTACCTCATACTCGAAAAAGGAGAAGATGTTGCTCCGCAAGTTGGTGCCTCGATAGGTATCATGCCAAATGGCGGACGGATCCTCGAGCAACTGGGCCTATTTGGGGAGATTGAGCGTGTGATTGAGCCGTTGCATCAGGCGAACATTAGCTATCCAGATGGGTTCTGCTTTAGTAACGTCTATCCTAAGGTTCTTGGCGACAGGTATGTCAACAGTCTCTGGATTGTCTTGTGGACAGAAGAAGATGAAGGGTGTTGTGGCTAAGGTTCTAGGTTCGGATACCCGGTTGCATTCTTGGACCGGCAGAAATTCCTGCAGATTGCGTATGGGGGGCTGAGGAAGAAGCAGAACGTTCTCACTCGAAAAAGGGTAGTTGGCGTGCGACAGTCGGATCGTGGAACTGCTGTTTCGGTGGCTGATGGGACAGAGTATGAGGCGGATCTCGTGGTTGGTGCTGATGGAGTACATAGTCGGGTGAGAGGTGAGATCTGGAAGATGGCGGAGGAGAATTGGCCTGCATCAGTTTCGACACGTGAAAGAAGAAGTATGCTTCTACAAAGTCCCATCTCCTTTGTGCTGGGTGCACTGAGAACTAACACAAGTAGGCATGACTGTCGAATATGTCTGCGTTTTCGGGATCTCATCAGCCATCCCAGGGCTCGAGATAAGCGAACAGATCAACGGGATTTTCGACCATCTATCCATTCTAACAATCCACGGCAGACATGGCCGGGTGTTCTGGTTCGTGATCCAGAAGTTGGATAGGAAGTACGTATATCCTGATGTCCCGCGATTCTCAGACGAGGATGCCGTACAGCTCTTCGATCGAGTCAAACACGTGCGGTTCTGGAAAAACATCTGCGTGGGGGACTTGTGGAAGAACAGAGAGGTGTCCTCGATGACAGCGCTGGAGGAGGGAGTATTCGAGACATGGCACCATGATAGGATGGTTTTGATTGGAGATAGCGTTCACAAGGTACGTCGCTAGGAAAATTGAAGTGAGATCGTTGGGCTTACTCAGTGTGCAACCAGATGACGCCCAACTTTGGCCAAGGAGCCAATTCAGCCATCGAGGATGCTGCCGCGCTCTCTTCCCTTCTACATGATCTCGTCAACGCCCGCGGAGTTTGCAAGCCGTCAAATGCCCAAATCCGGCATCTCCTCCAGCAGTATCGGGGGACACGATACACTCGCATGGTAGGCATGTGTCGTACCGCGGCTTCAGTGTCGCGTATTCAGGCCCGAGATGGCATCCTCAACACCGTCTTTGGAAGATATTGGGCACCTTATGCTGGCAACCTGCCTGCTGACCTGGCATCAAAAGTAATGGCAGATGCAGAAGTTGTTACCTTTCTGCCTTTGCCAGGACGCTCAGGACCGGGCTGGGAGATGTACAGGCGGAAGGGGAAGAGAGGGCAGGTGCAATGGGTGCTTATAATCTTCAGCTTACTTACGATTGGTGGATTGTGCATCTGGCTTCAAAGCAATGTGTTGAGTAGACGATAACTTCTGCTCTCCAATCCTTCTTTGATTTAGTATGATGTATTTTAAGTTATCGAGGCGGAGGAAAAGGCTCGCTAAAGCATAACTAATGTAGGAATGAGGATATCGAGAAGATAGATATGAGAATGCCCAAACGCCACGCTGCATTAACAACCAGATGAGGAGTATCATGTGCAGAAACACAATATAATGAGAGAATATCACTTTGAAGCCGGCTTCTTTCTAGGCGAACCGACGTTCAAAACATGTCGCATGCGGCGTAACTTAGCCCACCATTCCCGGTCACTGGCCTTTTTAACTTCGGGATTGACATCGTCCGCCGCAAACTCATCCGTCGATGGTACCTCGGAGACAGCACGACTGTCTCCCGAGGTGGTCGAACGATTCAGTCGACGATGGTGCACATTGAGCGCCTGGCCCAGCAGCTCCCAGCCACACCGTAGGCCTTCTGTTTTCTCGGTGGCCCGTCCCGTTCCGCTCTGAGCTTTTCCGTTCACCCAAGGACAATAGTCCATGTGCTCATTCAACACTTCCAATGAGTCGTAAAGAGCTTCATCGCCGTTGGGCTTGGGTTTATACATCCACAGGCCCAATCTCCGGAAACACACGCTACAGCCGACCAGACCAGCTGTCCCATCGGGGACTGAGTCCCAGCCGAAGAATGCTAGTATGAAGGCGTTCTTAAGAACAGATTGCTCAGGCTCAGAGTTCTGCGCGTTCCCTTTCCCATCTTCACCCTCAGTATTGCTCTCAATGCTCTCCGTGTGCGTACTTTCTTCGGACCTGTTGAAGCTTGCTGGAAGTATCTTAATGAGCGTTTCGAGATCGAAGGACTGAGGCGTTTGGATGACGTCTGCGGCCGGCAATTGATCGGCCATCTTCACGAGGGTTGAGTATCGTTTTTCTAGGCCGGAGATAGCTATTTCGGGGTTTGCTAGCGGCAATCGATGGATGGTAGCTATAACAGTCAGCTCCCGAATGGCAACCACAAGTATCGAAGAACCCACCATCACAGCCCTTGTTCCTCCACGGACAAGTCTCCCCGTGCCCCTTGACCAGCCTTTCCGCGTATTCGTCCACAAGCTTGGCTCCTGATCTCCATTAGACACACGAAGCAGACACGGCGATTGGCAAACTTACGAACTTCCTTCCTCTCCTGCACCTTTTCGGCATCAAACCCATCCAACTCGTCCAGCTCATCCGGGAGCTTGACCACAACCGACCCACCACAATTCCCAGCACATGTTACCCGGGCCACATCTGTACATATCCAGCCGCGCTTAGCCCATTCCACCTCGCTAATTGCTGACGGTTTGGGTGCCCATCGGTCGACGCGACGAAAGGTTTCCAATCGCTCGAGGAAACGTTCGCGATCCCAAGGAACAAAGCTGGGCCGCGAGGTTGACGATGACGACGAATCTCTGGAGCTAGGTCGTGCGACCTTTAGAAGTGAGTTTCGTGCAAGTGAGAAGCCGGGCGCATCTAGACGGGCTTTTTTGTTCGATGCGTCTCGAATGGTTGCAGGCGCTTCGGCGGTAGCTGATTTTGTGGACTCGGAGGTTGTAGGTTTGGTTAGAGACTCGAGAACCCGATGAAACTTGCGCTTCTTCGTTTCAACGGCGTAGGACATTTTCCAGCGCGTCGAAGCAATGGTGTTTTGCAGTTGAAGTGGTCTTTGAGATAAGGGAGCCTGGATCTTGGGGATGGCCTCGGAGCTGGTGGCGCTAGACCCGAAATGGAGCTATCGTGTTTATGCCTGAGGCAACGAGAGGGGTGCTTCGACCTGCAGGTGAATCGCCATGAACTACAGAGTTAGATTATGTATATTCGCTTGTTATCATTATATCAGAGCAGCCTCGAATATCCTCATTGCTATCGTTATAGTTGTATTGATATGTTCCCAAAGGGCATTGAGGTACAGGACAGGGCTGATAGTATCCCTTGAGTATATCTTTCAAATAAGGCCTCCTCAGCGAAGAAGGACGCCTTGCAGGCAGCAGAGACAGCGCAGGAGGTGCCTAACTGCAAGGGCTGTTACAAAGACTTATCAAGACCATTGTCTGTCCACACCTGGGTCCTATCTAACTCACACTTGTCATCAGACAATATACATGATCAAGACCGTTGGGATTCTTTACAAGCTAGAACAGTGCACCTTACTACTGTGACTACTTCATTCTAATCCTTCTAAGCCTTTCAGGCTTACTCGCGTATCTATGGTCTCCACCTGCCCTAGATCATCAGTTCAGCCAAGTGACGGTAGAAGGTATCGCCTACAGAGCGCTAAGAAGTTGAACTTGCTCTTGGCCATGCTGACAGTTGGTTACATAGTTCAACCTGCAAATGGCTCTGAACAACGAGGTACCCCTTCTTCCAGCCGTTCAGCGTGCGCTGGCAATTCCCGAAATCTTGAATTACATTTTCGAGTGCCTCTATCACTACCGCCCAGCCACGAGTAGTTGGGGTGGGCGTTCACTCCTTTCTTGCGCCCTCGTCAACAGACTATGGTTCTCGGAGGCAGTCCGATGGCTCTGGCAAAACCCCAGACCCCTTCTTCACCGAGAAGGTAGTCATGATGATGTTTTGGACGTGCTTGGCAGAATCCCAGAAGCACGCCGGAATATATATGCAAGATACATCAAGCGTGCTACACTAATAGACTTTCACCGCAAACCCGACGGCCTAGACAGTGTCCAGTTCCCGAGTTTATGTTGCGTACATATCATGAGGACAATCGACCTTTCTGATTTCGAGGAGATCAAATTTCAGAATAATTGCGTTCGGTTCATCCAGTATTGCACACCTTGTCCTTCAGACATTGAAACCGAGGAGTACGCCACAGCTTCTTTTGAGAAGCTTCTTACTCCTCTTCTGGTAGGTATTCACATTGCATTGAGGTGATACCTTACTAATCTCATCAGTCGCATTTTAACCATCTGAGAGAGTGGGTCATTGTTTCAGGTAGAAGCATGGACACATTAAACTACTTTAAATTCACACCAGACACCGAAGGACACGGCTGGCACCGGTCAGGTCATGGCCGTGTAAGAGGTTCGCCTAACTAGGGCGTCTAGGTTTCATAAGTAAGGTTCTATTGGGAGGAAAATGAACAGAGGAACCACGTATGCAGCCGAGGCTGAGCCTGAACACGGTGGATCTCGACAGCTTTTGTTGTTTATTTCTAATCTAATGACGTAGAACTGAAACAAATGTGTCCTGTGAATGATGGTATTTCCCATCAGCAGACATAGAGGCTCTTCCCGTAAATACCCTGCTTTGCTTGTGCAGAAAGCAGAGGCATTACGAGAATGAGGACACTTTCCTTGACCATAATCAAGCCCTCTTGTTACGGTGTACAAACGGGCATAGTTCTCTAATCATACATAAGGTGGGCTTCATCGCAGCTAAAAGACTTATGCCTTCATCGGCAGGGTATACACAAGGTCTTATAACTAGTCAGTAGCAAACGATAAAAAACAACCAATAGAAAACAATGCTAGATCAAATATGATTCATGTAGTGTACATAGAAGCCTCATGCTACCATCTTTCAGTTCATAGCATGAGGCTGAATTGCGGGACTGCAAACTTCAACAACTATGATCCAGTAATAGTGAGCAATTAAAACTATATAATTCAGTCCTCCGTATATCAAGGCTCAAATCAGGAGCGTCCAAGAGACTGTAGAGCCTCTACTAGAGTTGACTTTGCCTCCAGACTGCGATACTCGTATCCCACCACAAGCCACAATCAGTTAGCTTCTTTTCAGCCCTAGTCTCAGCTTAGCTAACCCCAAAACAAATGACTATAAAAGCGTCGCTTATCCTCCACCAAGATGGACCATATTACTCTTCTATACATCCCCCTCTCAGATATCCATAAAGTCCCGATACTCGATTCTGCTTCCATCCTCATCGAGCATTACCAATTTCTCGCAACCCCCAACCCCACAATGTCATCCCCAACCATCTACCTCATCACCGGGGCCAGCAGAGGTACACACCACCACTCCTGATCCCACCCTCATACATCTCACCCACAAAACTACCCAGGAATCGGCCTCTCCCTCACCCAAACCCTCCTCCTCCGCCCAAACACCACCGTAATCGCCACTATGCGCAACCCCACCACCAACTCTCTCTATACTAACCCCCCACCAACATCCCCCACCTCAACCCTCATCCTCCTCCCCCTCGACATCCAATCCACCACCTCAATCACCAACGCCATCGAAACTCTCAAAGCAACCCACAACATCACGCACATCGACACCGTGATCTCCAACGCAGGCTACTACAACGACGCCACCCACCGCGTCGACAACATCCCTCTCGACACCGTGCAATTGCACTTCGATGTGAACGCACTTGGCGTGATTCGTCTCTTTCAAGGAGTATACGACATGCTGAAGAAGAGCACGAAGCCGGTGTTCGTCACTGTTAGTAGCTTTCTAGGGAGTATCGGCGGTCTCGAAGAGGAATTCTTTCCCGGCGCAGCGTATGGCGTTAGTAAGGCTGCCGGGAATTGGGTGACGAGGAAGATGCATGTTGAGAATGAGGGGATGGTTTGTTTTATGGTGCATCCAGGGTAAGCTTACTATCTTGTGCGTTGGGATGGCTGGGGGTGCTGATGTGAGTTGTGTAGGTTCGTTAAGACTGAGATGGGTGATGCGTGTGCGAAGAGTATCGGGTTGGAGGAGGCTTTTACGGAGCCGAGGGAGTGTGCGGAGGCTTTGGTGAAGTTGGTAAGTGTTTCCTTTCTGGGAGCCTGATATATTGGGGTGTAATGCTGAGTGGAATAGATTGAAAGCGCCACGAGAGAAACAGTCGGAGGCCGGTTCATCAGCTGGAAGGGTGAAGAGGTTCCTTTCTGATTGGTAGATATATGCAAAGCTGCTATAGTACCGCCTGTTGCGCTTCTTGGTAGAGTACTACCATATTAGAGATCATTATCAAACGATCTGTTGAGCTTCATCTCTATCTGTCGCACAAAAAGCCCTATCATCCTCCACCTAAGTCTCTAGATATACACATACTAGTATACTTCCATTCCCGCATAAGCACTCTCGGATATCCAACATTCCGTATGTGCGCAACATCCCCTTAAGCCCCATAACCAACCAATCAAACCCATATCATCATATCCTAAACTCCGAATCCTCACCGGAGTTAAATCCCTTAATTCCGACATATCTCACATACCACCCATCACAAGAAGCAGAAAATACTACATAAACCCATAATTATCTCAAAACACCAGATCTCAACCACAGATCCAACCTAAAAAACGACACTATCACCTCCAAACAATCATTCAAAATGCCCCTAATCTTCCTAACCGGCGGCAGCGGCTACCTCGGCCAAGCCATAACGACACACGCCCTCTCCAAGAACTACACCATCCACTCCCTCTCACGCAGCCCCGAAAGTGACACCAAAATCATTTCTCTCGGCGCGACCCCGATCCGCGCTGACCTCACCACCCTCTCCGTGCTCCTTGAACAAAGCCAAAAGGCAGATATAGTCATCCACCTGGCGGACCCAATGGCAGGAAACTACTCTCTCCCATACGAAGAACGCATCCGCATCGACGACGAAGCAGTCACTGCCATCGCTGAGGGATTAGTTGGAAGCAACAAGCCGCTTGTAGTGACCTCTGGATCACTGGTCGTTGCTGCTACGGGGAAGGAGACTGACGAGGAATCCGCGTTATGGGAGGAAGGGAAGGCGCTGAATGAGCGGATTGTCTCTGAGAGGAATAATCTGAGGTGGGTAGGGGAGAAGGGTGTGAATGTTATCGTGATTCGGTTGCCACCGTTTGTGTATGGACGCGGAGGGAGTGGGGTGGGGTTGTTTATGGGGATGTTTTGGAATGGTGGTGATGGAGGGAAGAAGGAGGTGAAGGTTATTAGGGAGGCGGAGGGGGTGGTTACGTCTGCGGTGCATGTGGAGGATGCGGCCGAGTTGTATTTGCTTGCTGCGGAAAGGGCTGGTGCTGGGGATGTGTTCAATGGGTGTTCGGAGTGGGGAGTGACGTTTGGGGAGTTGGGGAGGGCAATGGCGGATGTTTTGGGGGTTGGAGTTGAGGTTGTGGGGTTTGAGGAGGCGAAGAGGGTGTGGGGGGAGTTCTTTGCGAGGTTTTTAAGTACGGAGAATAGGGCCTCTGGGGGAAGGGCGATGAGGGTGCTGGGTTGGGTGCCGAAGAAGGTTGGAATTGTGGAGGAGGTGAGGCATGGGTCGTATGTTGGGGTGGCGGAGAGATTGAGGAGTGGTGCTGCTTGAAGGTGTGCTTACAAGATGGGATGTGTATAGATTCGGAGGTTATGTAGATGAATTGCTTGCTTATTTGACCACAAACATGATGTTAGTGTCAAGCGGAATGTTGAAGATCTGCTTTGCTATGGACATGGTAGACACTGTCAGATGTAGCATAGATGTTGCGCGCAGCTGTCACAGTACCAAATTTGGGGATTAAGCAATCTGGTCTTCTCGATAAGGAATAATCTTCATCGGAGCAATCAATCCGTAGTCTGCCTCATCCGGTGGCGACGGAACCACCGTTGATGCATGCTGCCCACTAGTCTCCAGATCATCCCAGTATGTCCGCAGAACATTCCCAAGTGTAGTGCTCACAACAACCTCGACTGAATTACGTCCCTGTCGGATCAACTGTCCGATGTCCCACTTTGCCCATGTGATTTCTCCCGGAGGCAGCACATGTCCATTAATGGTGACCCGCGCCGTGTGCACAATTGGCCCAAGGTCAATCATTGCTCCAGACAGCGTGCCATTTGTGGCCTCTGGAGGCCAGTCGAATGTTGTCGAGTAGTACCCAATTCCAGAGACATTGGTCAATGATGTTGAAGCCTGGTTCCAGGGTAATAGATTTGGAAGCGCAAAAGTGTGGTTAGTACGCGTCGGCCTCGACTCGACGTTGTAGAAGTCCGAAGGCGCCGTCCATGACTCAACTATCAACGTCCAGTTTCCAAGCGTCAATGCAGGCGTTAGCATTGGGGCTAGAGTCACGGACTTTTCATTTGAAAGGTAGACGTCGCGAGACTCCTGATCAAAGGATCTAAGAACGGCGAGATGTGTCGTATTACTGGTTGCCCAAAGAACTCCGTCTGTTGTATTCTGTAAGTGGAGAGTTGGCTGGGCGTTCTTGTGGAAGCCGATAATCACGGACTGGTTTCCGGCCAGCGTAAGAGGAATTGTAACATGGGTCTCAGACTTCTGGTAGATAGACAAGGCGATGATATCGCCTGACCAGGCATCGTACAAAAAGGGTACTCCCGTTGTCTCAAAAGATATAATTCCTGAAGAGATTCCACCTCCATATGGGACCCCGGCTGCATCATTGTAAACATAGACGTAGTCCGTAAGCGTCTTTGTATCATGCCTCCAGGTGGTGTACCAGGTGCGGTTCGCGCTCACAGATGTACGCGGCAGGATGTTGAGAGAATTGAGCGTTGCCGCCAGGTTCTCGTACGGCACAGTGTGGACGTTATGCAAAGAAGTTAGATTTTTAATCGTGCTGACAGCTTGCCTCGCAGCTTTAGGATTGTACCCGCTGAAGCTTCCGGGCAGTCCACCGGAAAAAATAATCGGGAGCTTGGAATGAGCGTATTCGACAAGTTTAGCAACCCCAGACGCTGTCAGAGTATCGTTTGCTCGCACCACGAGCGCCTTGAAGGCCTGTTGGTCCGGAGCAAAAGTGCCGTTGGAAACATATGCACCTGGTAGTACAAAGTTGTCGGGACTAAGGTATTCATATATATAGCCTACCAATAAGACCTAACTTAACGTCGTCAATGCTTCGATGCAAAAGAGAGCTCCTTACCTGCACTCTGTAAATCAACGGGGCTGTAAACAGTAGGAAGGGTCTTGTAGGAGGTGGATTTCGACCAAAAGACAATGTCCGCTTTGGGAATACCTGTCTGTTGCACGAACTGGGTACGAGATATCCAATCGAGGAAATCTCTGTAATAGGCAAACGACGGCTGACGTGGACCATACATCTCCGAAAACTCATATGAAAAGGTTGTAAAGCCAGGCCACGTCGTGTTGCCATAATTACCCGAGTAAGGGTATCCGTGAAGCACAAATTGATTGACCGAGCCGGCAAAAGAACGCTTCAGTGTCCACAAAAGCTCGGGTATAGGCTCCTGGTATGCTTTCGCCATCTCTGCGCCAGCCTCATTGGTAATAATGCGCTTCCCAGCCAGGTGCGCGGGGCCTGCAAATTGCCTATAGCTGTCGATGTTGTCCCTGAATCCTAGGGTCTCGCACTCGGGTCCGTTGACATAGGGAACATTGGCAAGCATATCCATTGGCAAGTTGTAAACCACCTGTGCTGAGAATTGAATACCAAGGTCATTGCTCCGCTGTGTTAGAGAAGTGAGATACTCGGCGTTCAGTTCCGTTAGCTACGCAAGTCAATATCTAATCCCTTCCTCACATTAAAGGAGGCACACGAACTGTTTGCTGATAGTCCACCGTATGACTCGCGCCTGCATCAGGCTCATCAGTAACATAGGTCGTCTGAGGAGTCGACCCGCCGCCGGAGCCGACCAGGATCGGTATGAATCTGTTGATACTGTAGCCGCGATTGGTTTGGAACACCTCTTGGAGATGCGGGGTCCAGAATGTGGAGACGGTATATTCCTGGCTGTCTTCCCAGAGGTAATTACCCACTTCACGAATCAGTGCGCTTGTTTCACTATCCAGCAACGACTGTTTCCAGAAGTCTATGACTACTAACGCGCCTTGGGGCGAGAAGTGATCGACCACCCATGATCCGTTCTGTGGGTAACTGGTGATAGGTGACTGGGGGACCGCGGCCGGAAGGTTAGCAGAACTCTCGACCTCTCGGTACTCAGAGTGTACTAAATAGTAAGCGAATATGAGCTGCTCGGAACTATCTGCAATCTTGTTTGCCTGTACTTGAAGATGGCCGTTTGATTCGACGAGATGTGTCACATCTAACAGAGAGCTTTCCGCAAGCACTTTGTATGTTTCGTTGCTCGAACCAGTCGAGCTAACGTGAGCGGTAACAGCTGCAATCAATGGTCCTGCACCCCATCCTGGAATGATGCCATCGAAGCCTTTGTCGCTGGGAAATGTCCAATTGAACCCGGGTAAGTCCCAGAGAAGGCCATCGTCGTTATATGGCGCTGGGACGCCGGCGCCTTGGTTTGGTCCCATTGCCAAGTCCACGAGTAAGTCGTGTTTCTTTGCTGTCATCAAGACGGTGTCGGCCAGACTCTCTAGTGGTTGATATATTAGCATTATCGCCACCGAATATAGCGTTGATAAAACTCACTCCATGCAGGGCTACCAAAACCGAATATAGTCCAGTCTGACTGCAGAGGACATTGCATTTGGGCCCCATAATTCAGCGTGTCTCCATAAAGATAGTAACCGAGTAACTCAAGCCCCCCTGCCCCGGATTCACCCATAGCCTTCACATCCTCCGCCACCACGCTCAGATTTAAGGACGCATCATTTACCCAGTAGCGGAATCGTGGTCTCACGTTGGATGAGGGATCCCGAAAGGTACCATAATCGATGTCAGGTTCGACTTGGTCATTAGTCCCGACAGCCCATACGGACTGAGCAAGAAGAGCGATATGTACGAGAAGGGACGGCAAATGCATAGTTTTCGGTTCCGGTGATCCAATCCCGTCCTTGGTGAGGATGGCACGACACCTGAAGATTATACGTCATACTAGTATAAATACCTATGATAGACCGTCCGCACAGTGTACTCTGGCGCATCTGATGAGGGGGAAACGTATTCGGTGCAATGCTGAGCCGAAATTGAGGAGTCATGCTGAAGATCTTTGGATGGTGACTTGCTCGGCAATGCATGGAGGTCAAGAGGGGATCGAACTGAAGTGTGATAGCGGGATTTTCTGCAAGGAGCTGAGTAGTCCAGGAGCGTGGCAGGTCTCACCATTTGTCACTACAGTATGCAAGAAATACAGGTCGGTCTGATTATGGCCGATCACAGGCAGTCAGTCGTATTCGTACAAATGAGGTGAAATAGTATCTAGGGTCTGATACCCTGCATTCGGCCCCACTAGTGCGGGGCCCCGGGCATTCCGACAGAAAAAGAGGAGGGAAATCCGGAGTCAGGATGACTTGATGCTGCAGGACCCCGCAGCGAGAATATCACAGCTTCACAAATTATTTGCGAGAAGTTCGAAGCAAATGAGGGGGCAAGTCCAGTGTATGTACCCTTGCGATGATCTTCAGCACCGGAGAAATATCGGACTCGCCTGTGACTGATCCCACATACCAAGTCAATGGTGATGCTTTTCCTCTTGACAAAGAAATGGTCCATTAGTATATAAGTCGCTTTATATGCATGCAACAGTATCATAAATACATGGGGAATAGCTTTCGGTTGAGTGGCTGTGCTTTTCAGGCGCTTTTTACCTGGTCCCTTGAACCTCGCTGATATAAAGGAGCCATGGGTAGAACCTCAGCGACGTGACATGATAGATAGCCACAGAGACTACTTTCTGGAAGAAAGTCGGTTATAGCTTGCCAAGTTGTGGCTTCCAGGATTTGAAAGTGACTTAATATGCCTCGATGCATAAGTTCACCCAATAACTGTATGTGACATGACACTGGACTAAAAGTGGTAAAGAAACTCCGCGCTGAGAGTTTTAACGGCCCGATATGCAGTGACAGAAGGAAGTGTGGAATCTGCACACTCGTAGAGGAACTGTAACAACCGGTGATCATTCATCGAGGATAGGACTTTTCAGGCGGCTTGAAGCAAGGGGCCTTGACCATTCTGTATATGAAGTCAGATTGGCTGAGTGACAATACAACGTCAATTTAAACTATATTGATAGAATTTTACACCACTGTAGTAGACAAGGGTGCTGAGTAGGTAAAGAGAGAGATGCTACCAAGTAGTTAAGGTAGAATGTATAGAGTACCTTAGTGGTGTATGGGCTGATCGATCGGCAACAAATTGACGTGCTCTGATTGGTTGGCGAGGTCTCGGCCTTCGGGCTTCCGAACGCGAGACTCGCCGAATTCCAACCAGAAATTCTGGCCTGGCAAGCCTTCGACAGCTTCATTCTCTACTCATCCGCCCATCATGGCATCCTTCGGGCCTTCTGTGCCCTTGCTGCGAAGCTTGTCTCCCCGGCTGTCGAGGGAGCTCTTCACCTGCCGCCAATGTTTGGTCCGTACCCAGAACTTCGCGACTAAGTCCGCCTTCCGCAGGCAATTCTCCGCCCTGCCCTTCGCCCAGAACGCCAACAGCAGAACCAACTCTGCCCTGCATTCCAGGGCCAGAAAGCTTTTTGCGTCCAGTCTGAGAAGAAATGTCTCGGGATCAGCAGCACCGGAGGCAATTGCTGCCCAGGAAGGAGCCGCGAAAGCCAAGTCTAGTAGCTTTCCGGATGTGAGCGATAAGAAAGTGGCCTACTGGCTGCTGGCCAGCGCGGCCAGTGTGTTTGGCATTGTCGTTTTTGGCGGCCTTACCAGACTGACTGAGTCGGGGTAGGTCTTCTCTTCCATTGCCAAATTGCAGACCAATGCTAACGCAGCCATGTTGTAGTCTGAGTATCACCGAATGGCGCCCTGTCACCGGATCCCTCCCCCCAATGAACGCCGAAGACTGGGAGTCGGAGTTCTCCAAGTACCGTGCCTCTCCCGAATTTCAACTCCTGAACCCCCATATGACCCTCTCCGAATTCAAGTCGATTTACTACATGGAATGGATCCACCGTCTTTGGGGCCGCTTTGTCGGCCTGTCGTTCGTGCTCCCGGCCGCATACTTCGTTGCCACGAAAAAGGTTAGCAAGCCCATGTCTTTGCGCCTTGCTGGTATTGCTGGCTTGATTGGATTCCAAGGTTTGATCGGTTGGTGGATGGTCAAGTCTGGCCTGAAGGATGATCTCTTTGCTCCCGGTAGCCACCCTCGTGTCAGCCAGTACCGTCTGACGGCGCATCTGGGTGCGGCTTTCGTCTGCTATACTGCTATGCTCTGGAACGGACTTGCCATTCTGCGCTCCCACCGTCTGCTCGCCGACCCGGAAGCTGGAATCAAGCTTCTGGACTCGCTTCGTGACCCTAAGCTCAAGATCTTCCGTCGCTCCGTTGCCGCTTTGGCTGCTCTGGTTTTCGTGACTGCCATGTCGGGTGCCCTGGTCGCTGGCCTGGATGCTGGTCTCATCTACAACGAGTTCCCGTTCATGGGTAATGGCCTGGCTCCTCCTAAGTCCGAACTGTTTGATGAACGCTACTCTCGTCACGAGGACCGGTCGGACCTCTGGTGGAGGAACATGCTGGAGAATCCTTCCCTGGTGCAATTGGACCACCGCACCCTGGCCATGACTACCTTTACGAGCATCATGGCTCTGTGGGCCTACACTCGCAGATCCCCCACCATGAAGCGCCTCTTGCCCCGCGCTGCGAAGAAGGGTGTTCACGGTGTCGTCGCTTTCGCCTGCATGCAGGTTGGTCTTGGTATCTCGACGCTTCTTTACCTTGTTCCCACGCCTTTGGCCTCTGCCCACCAGGCAGGCAGTCTGTTCCTTCTTACCTGGGTGCTTGTCTTGGGAAGCCGTGTCTGGCACCCGTCTAGGACGGCTAAGCTGCTTCAGATGGCAGCCAAGGCCCGTGGACAGGCTCTTGCTAATGCCGCGGCCCATGCTCCCCGGAGAGTTTGAGAGTTAACCGTGGAATATGACGAACAGGCAGGAGTTCTGGACTACATCTACTTGTATTATACTGCCACGGAGTGGCCCTGTATGTCTACTAAAATCTCTACTTCACGTATTTGTATAATATGATCACGTACCACTGGATTTGCCTCTGGCGTATTAGCTCAATCCTGCCATGGTAGTACTCACAATCCAGTTTCCGCTGGCATCAGGCAACAGACATACCGGAGAACGGCGGAGGGGGTCGGTGCCTACCTTTTTCGGAATATCTTCCCTATGATGAAATCCAGCTCTCATATTTCTCACCGGAATGTCTTTTCTGCCCGTCTGTCCCACACCCAGTGTGCAAGCATTTAAAAACAGAGACTATCCACCGACTTTTCGGAGAACTGAAGGAAAATGGTACCGTGTCACTATGACACATGATGAAGCCGAAGCGCATAAGTTTGTTGCAGGAGCAAAAGTCGAATAACAGCACATCAACAGATACTTATCTGATTGACGTGGCACATTCACTCCTCACTTACCCTGTCTGTCTGTTGGGTTTCGAATTCTTCGCGGGCACGTTTCGCCAGGATGAGAAAGGGGGCACGTATAGTTCTTCTCTCTTCCTCAGTGGTGGGCGATACTATGAACTCTGTAAGAAGGAGTTCCGTTTCACAACTACTGTGATTCACCTACCACTTTCACTTCTGCGACTAGCAGAGTCTTCGAGCCCCAAAGCATACAGCATCTCCGCACCTTCTGCTGTCTCGGGAGCTCGAGCATCATTCAATATTGCTTCCTCTGTGTTAGGAGAAGCTGCCGGGGACGGAGCAGCAGTAGCTTCAGGCGTTGGTGCTGGTGCTGGTGCTTGACAACGTTGGCGATTTCCCCGGCGGCCTCGTCGGTTTCTCCTCCCCCTCCCTCTAGTAGGCTGTTCTCCTTCCCTCCTTCTACTAGTATATATCCATCTTCTGGCATGACCCCTCCGTCTAGTCATTGCCATCCATCCTCCTAGTCTCGCCACTCTCTGTTCATGATCAGCAGTCGCCTGGGCCGTTAACTCATTTACATCAACGGGTGAGAAGTGCGTCCTGCCTTGGACCCGATGGGTTCGGCGTCCACCATTTTCAATGGTGCATGCACGACATTCTCGCCATCCACATGATCGACACTGCGACATGGCATTCTGCATGTTGAAAAGGTCGCATCTATCGCACGCGTCTTCGTAGGCTTCTATGTATCGGAACTCGGTGTGGACTTCTGTGGCTGGGCTCGCCTCTGCGGCGGTGTCGTTTGAGGGAATCGCGCACTGGGAATCCATGGTGATTCGAGTAGTGAGACTAGATGTTTCACGTGCGTTACTAGTTGTAATGGTCGAAGTGTAATCGAGGTACAAGCTTGTGGACAATTCTCCGAAGTATATATACTTCTTCTCTACCTTCTAGAATACTTGTCTCGGAATGAGAATGTGGAGACGCGCAGCTGTTGCGCAGGGAATTGCCGGCGTGATAGAGTTGTGCTTTGGGGAGTGTTGAGGCCCTGTGCAGGGCTTGTTCGTCGGGGCTCATAGTTTATTTATTACAGTTGAAGGGAAATGAAGGTTAGACTTATTAAGCTTGAAGGGATATTCCAACATCTACCATGTCCCATGTACTGGGAATAAGGCACACAACCCCTGCCAACGATTGGGATATCAAATCATGTCCATCAAATCATACGGAACTTACAGTTGTTCTACTACTTCATCAATAGTAACCAGTATTACTAACAACCGTCTATCTAGTAAGTCGGGGACCGGCAGGTAGATCTAGAACACCGGTAACCTGAACGCATACACCAGCTTGGAAGAAAGATACCCAGGGAAAGGAACAAGTAGTGAGATTAGTAAGAGAGAGAGAGAGCTTGCTATATTTAGCAAAAAGGCAGTATATACAGACCAAGCATGATATCAAGTCTCTCTTTCATTCTCTATTGGAATCTCCCTCAGGAAAACCCCTAACCATCATCACTATAAGTCTTCTACGGAACTTTCCCCATATAACACGTTCTAAGTTTGTAACAGTGACATACCTACTAGTACAGCTCCTTCTACATTACCTATCTGTCATTAAAGCAAATCTAATATACATCTGCCCAAGGCATTCACATAGAGGTAGGTAAAATGATGGATGGCAATTGACCCTTTACCGCTTTATTGACCGCCAGAGACGGCAGAATCTAGCGAACCTCGATCGAAAAATCTCGGATTTAGCGGGTTTTGGAAACATACAGTTCCCAAATGCTCACCTGAGATTCTGTTGAAATCCCGGTGGGTGCGGTGTGGCAGTATTTTGATGGTCTAATGCTTGACGGCAGATTTGTACGTACACTGCTTTATACCGCCGTAGTGGGTGGGTCCTGGGTTTCCATCTCCCGGGCGCTAAACCCCATCCGGTATCCATGTCTGTATCTGCCCATCCCTCCCGTCAACTCTACATTAACTTCGATATCCAGCCCATGGCGACGGAAGTCCGATGGTACAACAACCGAATATCCTCCTGCATCACCCCGCAACTAAATTTTCCCAACCACACTTCGGCCATTTTCGCACAGTAGACAAGATGGCCGAGGGGTAAGGCACCCTTATCCAGGGTCATCTGACTGAGGTCCTGAAAGGAGATCACACTCTTGTCCTGCTTGCGGCTGATTTTGACAAGCTTCTGTTTTACTGCCTTCATCGTGGGGGACACTATTATAAATAGTGGGGTAAAAACTATAAGGGGGATAAGGTAAGTATATAAGAAGAGAGAAAAGGATATTTACTACATCCTGGCATCTATAATCATTTTATGCATTTCTTCATTGACATCCGAATACCATGCAACTAGTCATCAGAAAATACTAACATCTAATAATCAGTTCGTCACATTTATCTATTTGTGGGCTGTAATCGTTCGTTAGCTATTCGTTTCCTTTCTCAGGAGAAATCAAAATGGTGGACTCACCAATACCCTCCTCAGCCTGAGGCTCAATGCCAACCACCTCCGCGGCGGGCTTGGTATCATGTGCAGTCTTGTCCTCCTTCATGAAGGGGAAGGCCAGAACCTCCTTGATGCTGTAGTTGTCCGTCAAGAACATGACCAACCGGTCAATACCCATACCCCAACCACCAGTGGGCGGTAGGCCGTACTCCAAGCTGGTACAGAAGTTCTCGTCGATGATCTGTGCCTCGTCGTCACCCTGATCCTTCTGGCGGGCCTGCTCCTCGAAACGCAGGCGCTGGTCGAACGGATCGTTCAACTCGGTGTAGGCGTTGACAATCTCCTTCTTGCAGACGAAAGCCTCGAAACGCTCGCACAGACCGACGTTCTGGCGGTGGTACTTGGCCAGAGGAGACATCATCTGGGGGTGGCCAGTGATGAAGGTGGGGTTGACGCAAGTCTCCTCGATGAACTCACCAACCAGCTTGTCAAGCATGCGGGCGTTGGTCATCGGGGGAGAGCACTCAACACCGGTCTTCTTAAGCACACGCTTGAGGAACTCGCCGGTCTCGGCGGTGTGGAGCTGGTCACCCGGAGGGAACTTCTCGCCAGTGGCCTCCTCAAGAGCGGGGATCATCTCCACGCGGCGCCAGGGGGCCTTCCAGTTGACGTTGTAGGTCTCGCCAGACTGAGTGTGGAAGGTGGTCTCGTAGCCACCGGTGATGTGCTTCACGAGACCGGAAACCAGCTCCTCGGTCAGGTTCATGACATCGTAGACATCGGCATAGGCCCAGTAGAACTCGCAAGTGGTGAATTCGGGGTTGTGGGTGAGGTCAATACCCTCGTTACGGAACTGACGACCAAGCTCGTACACACGCTCGAGACCACCGACGATCAGCATCTTCAGGTACAGCTCGGGAGCAACACGCATGAACAGGTTCATGTCGAGGTCGTTGTGGTGAGTAACGAAGGGCTTGGCGGTGGCACCACCAGCGATGGCGTTCATCATGGGAGTCTCAACCTCGACGAAGTCGCGGTTGTCGAAGAAGTTGCGGATGTAGCGCACGATCTTGGAACGGGTGACGAAGACGTTACGGGACTTGTCGTTCATGATCAAGTCCAGGTAGCGCTGGCGGAAGCGCTGCTCCTTGTCCTGCAGACCGAAGTGCTCGGACGGGATGGCGTGCAAGCAGGGAGAAAGAAGGACCACCTCCGTAGCGAAGATGGACAGCTCACCGTCGGCACGGTTCTTGGGGCTGGTACGACCGGGGAAACCGACAATACCGACAATGTCACCACGGCGGAGGTGCTCGTGCTGAGCCTCGAAAGGCACGTCGCCAGTGGCGTGCTGAGCCTGAGCGACGACCTGGACCTTGACGCCCTCAGCGCGGATATCGTAGAAGATCAGCTTGGCGCCGGAAGCACGCTTGGTGTAGATACGACCGGCGATGCGGACGGCGACCTCAGGCTTCTGCTCGCCCTTGGCGAGACCCTCGTAATCGGTGAGGTACTTGCGCAGATCATCGGTGACCTGGAACTTGTGGGGGTAGGGGTCGGGGTTCTTAGTCTCGCGCAGCTTGTTGATTCTCTTGCTGCGGATCTCGAAGTATTGCTGTACAGAAACGAGCGGGAATGTTAGCAGAGATGCGACAATGGATCCCCGACAGCACACAAAGAAGCGCCCCCCAGCGATGAATGGGCAAAAAATGACTCACGTTGGGGGTGAGGTTGGCCTCCTCATCCTCGGCGGAGGTCTTCTTCTCGGCCTTGGGAGGAGCAGCGGCCTCCTTCTCCTTCTTCTTAGCCTCCTTCTCACGGTTCTTCTGGCGTCTCTTCAGCTCGGACTTGGAGACCTTTTCGCCGGTCACCTCATCGAGGAGAAGGTTGGCCATGGAGGCCTCGGCCTCCTTAACAGCGTTGTTATCAGCCATGGTGATGGACGGGGGTAATTGCTCAGTCTCAATCACCGTGGGAACAAGACGATGAGAAGGGAAAGAAGGTAAGTGGAGGGATCGATCGATGACACACAAGATGGTGGGCTGAAGTCGGAGGGAGCGAGAATTTTGGGCGGGAGTCGCCGCCCGCGATCCTCATTGGGCACCGCGAGGGGCAGCTTCCACCCCGCCCAGCCAGTCCTTAAGTAATCGTCTGTTCTTTGGACTCGGCCTCCTGTTTATCATCATTGCGGAAATCTAGCAAACAGTACCGAGTTTCCCTATTAGTTTGCATTCTAGAGCTGTTAATCTTTCTATCTGACATCTCTCCTTTACCATTGGGTACACGCTGCCATACACCATTCGAGTCTATCGCAAGCAGGGTTTAGGGCTTAGGGCATCAAAGTGGGGTTCCATACCCCGCCTCGATGCTTGCGGTCAATCCATCCATCATCCATCACCATTCCAGCTTCAACTGCATCTTTTTCCAACATACCCACTCACTTAGTCCAGTCACCATGCTAATACATTCGATCACCAAAGTAGATTCTGTTGTAGCCACGCACTGTGGACAGAAAAATGCTCACAACACCTCGTCAAGCTGCAATTAAGTAGTCCAATCGTCGGGAGGCTGGGATTTAATCCTCACATTCTCGAATTGGTCATCTTGGTCATCCTCTTTCCTCGCTAGCTTTAGCCACTCCTGGGCTTTATCGATTCGCTCCTTTTCTCTGAGAAGGAATTGCCGGCGTCTCTGGCGGTCGGGGTCCTCCTCCATCAGCTCTAGGCAGCGTTCCAGTGCTGAAGGCAAGACAATGTCTTAGTATTTAACTCCTGATAGAATGAGTGAAACGTACCGTTTTCATCGAAGATACAAAGCTCTCTTTCGATCTCCTTGATGAGATCGTCACGGCATTTGGCGAACAATTTAGTGTGTACGCTCTGGCATATTGAATCAACGAACCGCGAACTCGCCAAGTCGTAGTACCCGCGACTCGTCTGGCCAGGGCAGTTAGTTCATAGTCGACGCTTTGGCATGGGATCAACTTACCGCCATCATAGTCAGCTCCTGCGAGAACTGGTCGCGCCCCAGCTCGGCATCTGTAAGCTTTCGAAGCTCAGCTTCCCGTCGGGCGTCTCCTTTAGGGTACTTTCCCTGAGAGTCAAGATAAGACCCAGCGCGGGCGAGCCGACGCCTTTCTGCAAGAAAACTGTGAGCAGACTTGATTGACTGGTCCAATGCCGAAAGTGCCATTGTGAATGGTTTGTTGTACTCAATGTTGAAGTTTTCCTGCGCATGCTCGAAATGAGCAGCTCGTAGCTTATACAAAAAGCTCTCAATGATTCGCTTGAGTTCTCGATAGAGACCCGTCTGATGATATTGCAGAAAGACTTCATCTAGCTGCCTGTGCAGCATGTCCCGGACAAGGCGATAGGTGGCAACCAGAAAAACTGACAGTGGGTCGTACCAGTGCTTTACGCTCATCTGGTTCATGATCTCAATGGCTTTCGGGTCCGTCTGATCCGGCAGTCCAGCTCGATACGAATCCTCATTTATTCCGCGAATCATCTCCCATGTAAACATCAGGGCGGGAGCATTGAACTTGTCGAATTGTTCTGTCGAGTAAAAACCATTTCTGGCCCCGTTTGTTGCTGAATTTGGATGTTGTCTCCCTTCTGGCGCGACTGAGGTACTTCCAAGCTCACATGGTGACTTGCGTTTGACTGGCTGCGGGACGGTCGTCATCTCACAGTCTGAATCGCTCCCCTCTGCATCGCGGTCCGTCGGGCCAGGGAACCTATCGCTGGGAGAGAGCAAACTCACAGTGGGCCGGGTCTTGATCAGGGCTCGCTTGAAATCCATGGCAATATGCGACCAAATCTTCTGCATGGGGTAATTTGCTGACCCACCATCAATATGAGCGCGAATTTGCTCCTTCAGCTGGTTTAACTTCCCACAAATAATGTATGGAACATTCGCCGAGGGCGGGTCTGGGAGAGTCCGGAGCTCAGCCTCGATCCTATCTGCTTTGGCGTTAATCTCCTTAATAAATTCCGGCAGGCATCCTTGAATCTGCTCAAGAAGCAGAGAGGAGAGTGTCGCCTGTAAATTTCGGGTCCCGAACTTGTCTCGATAAAGAGCCAGATCAGTGGCCCAGGGCTCTCCCGCGAAGAAGGCTTCTTCCTCTTCTCGAGCGACGGAGTGCTCGACCGCGGGGTCGGGGTTGTTACGAACAACAAAGTACCCGTGGCCAAGCGAGAATTTGTCTCCTTCGAGTATTTCAATCCATTGAGCATAAGATTCTCCGGTCTGAATGCGATCGGGCTTTGTCAGAACACCCATTGCCCTTGCGTTTGCTCCAGAAGTGGTTTGCACGATCCTTGCAGCACTTGAATTCGTGGCATCATTCGTCATCGGCAACGTCAGCAAGACAATACAGTGCTTCTGCAGAATATAGTGCTTGACAAGGTTCTCGACCAGATGAACAAGATAGCGTTCTCCTTCCTGTTCGGCTTGGCTGATGACACCGGGCAAATCATAGAATGACAAGTTGGGAAACCCCGGTGCAGCAATATCCAAGCGCACGACGTTGGGTGAGAATTTCACTTGACAATAATCAGGATCTGTTTCATTGTTTTGCCCTGGCAAATATTCGCTGGAAGGTCTGCCTGGGTTTAAAATGGCGAGCTGCGCCCATCTAATCACTTCGACGAGGTCAAGCTTGTCTGTCAATGTTGTGAATAGCTCCTCTTCTTGTTGTTCTTGCTCCAGCCAAGGCCCGAGGGGTTGGGACTTCTTCGAGAATTTACCGCCCTTCTTAGAGACATCATACATGTACTTCCGCGACAAAAAGACCTTGCAAGTCCAGGGCTGGTCAGGTTCCCCTTCACAGAGATTGATCTCCATTGGACATCTGGTGCATGTCCCCGCGCTTCGTGGCACCTTGATCTCGCTCATTCCCTCGATCAAGGAGCTTTTACCGGCACTCTGGTCACCAATGACGCAGATTTTCGGTAGCACAATCATCTTGTCCTCAATTCCGAGGTGGCGTAGGTCCTGGATCTTCCGAACAAGCTCCTTCATGTCGCTGGCAATCAGATCTATGGAGTCCACATTGGGGGCTTCGGGTGGAGCCATCTTGCTAGCCTGGGAGATAGCTAAGAAGGTGTAAGTGATGGTTGAAAGTTGAATCGGTCAGTAGGACTCACTGGGAGATATACTTTCTCTTTCAGCCGTCTGGTTGCTGAATGAGGTTCGTCGTATCTTCAGGGTAAGTAATGACATAAAAAGTCTGTAGGAGCCTAGGAGAGTATAGATTTGATGGGATCGAGAGCGCGTGAGTGAAGTGAGAAACAGAGAGTTACAATGAGGCGAGAAGAATCTCAGATTAATGGAGAAAGGTGTGCTAATAGAAGCCGGACTGTGCGATAAAAGTACAGAAGTTTCCAACAGACTAGTTCATTTGAGAAGAAATAAGAGATCTGACCTAGGGAGGGGAGTGTTATGAAGCATTTTATGCCAGTGAATAATAGGGGGCAAAGGAGGTTTTGAGTTCATGCGAGAACTAGAACTGCAGGCCGTGATCAATTCACCAACAGAGAAAATAGAGTGAATGGATGTGTAAAAGCAGCAAGGATAGAATGAGATCTATAGAAAGATTGTGGCAGAGAGGTCAATTTAACATCTGCAGGAACCCTGACAGCAGCATGAAACGAAACCAAATCGGGAAAATTGCTCTGTTGTCGGACATGATTGGAGGATTGGGTTAGCATCAAGAAGCAGCCACAGTTTGAAATCAGTATGTGATGGATGTGGGAGCTGCAAATTAGTTGATCTATCCTTTCCCAAGAATTACGCTCTCAACCCAGTAAGCTATCAGTATTGTGATAGTACTCCGTAGTACTAGAGGCGAGGAAGTAGATAGATAAATCATTGGATGGACTGATGGTCCCGAGAAATGTGGAAACCCCAGGCTGAAAGCGGTGGAGAGGAGTCAGCCAGTCAGGTGCCGCCAGCCAACCAATGGCACCTGAATCCATCAATTCAGTCCCGTGTCACTCTCTCAGGCTCAGGCTCTCTTTCTCCTGACCTGTTCCGGAGAGCGCTAAGACTTAAGGAGAGCTGGCGGTGGGCCTGGACAACAACTTACTGCTCGCTCCCCCTCGGCCTTGCCCTGCGTCTTTTCCCCTCGTTCCTTTTCCCAAAATCTTTACGGATTCTAATCTATCAACTTGTCTGTGCTCGAGATTTGGCCTCAGTTTTCATTCCTGAACACCAACCCCCACCTTATATACCCCCCACCTTTCCAATGCTTCAAGTTCCAGTGCGGGAGCACACCAACGTGGCCTCCACCAAGGCTGTGATCTTGGTATGTGACGCTAGTGACTTCATGCCTCCTGTATCAATCTCGCTGACGGAATTTTTCCTTACTTAGGTCGGAGGTCCGTCTAGAGGAACGCGCTTCAGGCCTCTGTCCCTTGACATGCCCAAGGTTGGTTGCCCCTCTCTGCCTTAGCTATCCCGCAATTCATGAACCCCTCCGCACCAATCCTCGATTTCGTCACCCGCAAGCTTTATCGCCGCTACTCACACTTGGATTCCTTGTTAGCCCCTCTTTGAAGTCGCCGGTCATCCTATTATCCACCATTGCCTGAAAGCGCTTGCCAAGATCCCCGATATTCGTGAGGTCATCCTCGTCGGCTACTACGATGAATCCGTCTTCCGCGACTTCATTAAGGACTCCGCCAAGGAGTTCCCTCAGTTCAAGATGCAATACTTGCGTGAATACACGGCTCTGGGCACCGCTGGCGGTCTCTACCATTTCCGCGATGCCATCCTGAAGGGCAAGCCCGAGCGCATCTTCGTCCTCAACGCTGACGTCTGCTGCTCCTTCCCCCTTGGCGAGATGCTCAAGCTGTTCGAGGAGAAGGATGCGGAGGCCGTCATCCTCGGAACAAGAGTTAACAACGATGCCGCCACCAACTTCGGTTGCATTGTTTCCGATTCCCATACCAGACGGGTTCTGCACTACGTTGAGAAGCCTGAGTCGCACATCTCCAACCTCATCAACTGCGGTGTCTACCTCTTCGCCACCGAGTGCATTTTCCCCTCCATCCGCAGTGCTATCAAGCGCCGTACCACCCGCCCTCGCCTGCTGTCATACCCTTCGTCCGAGAACTTGGAGTCCTCTTTCATCGCAGCGGAGGACGAGGCAGAGAAGAGCGAGGTCCTTCGTCTGGAACAGGATATCCTCTCCGATCTGGCCGACAGCAACCGTTTCTTCGTCCACGAGACGAAAGATTTCTGGCGCCAGATTAAGACGGCCGGTTCCGCCGTGCCCGCCAACGCCCTTTACCTCCAGAAGGCCTTCCAGGCCGGATCTGACGAACTGACCCCTCCTTCCGCTGCCATCGTGCCCCCAGTCTACATCCACCCCTCCGCAACAGTGGACCCGACAGCGAAGTTGGGTCCCAACGTTTCCATTGGACCCCGTGTGGTCGTGGGCGCAGGCGCTCGTATCAAGGACTCGATCGTGTTGGAAGACGCCGAAATCAAGCACGATGCATGCGTGATGCACTCGATCATCGGCTGGAGCAGCCGCGTTGGTGCCTGGGCCCGTGTTGAGGGTACCCCGATCCCCACGGGCAGCCACTCGACCAGCATTGTCAAGCACGGCATCAAGGTCCAAAGCATCACCATCCTGGGCAAGGAGTGTGCCGTGGGTGACGAGGTACGGGTACAGAACTGTGTGTGCCTGCCGTTTAAGGAATTGAAGCGCGTATGTAACCCCATTTATCCACATCATCTCGAAACATGAGGCTAACAATACTCTTAGGACGTCGCCAACGAGGTTATCATGTAAAAAAAAACATGTGACGTTTTTGGATGTGACACGCATATTCTGTGATATCTGTTCTCTTTCCCTCTATCCTTGGTCCCAATTGACCATCCTGGCTACGCCATTATTGGCGGTCGGATTGCCGAAACTACATGCTTAGATCTAGCTCCAACCTAGAAACGGACCATGAATGAATGAATCATGTGTCCGTGGACATCTTCCAAATAATATGCTAATATCCCTTCATAAGTTGGATTATCGTCCAAGTACTTGCTATAAGGTTATTCAGGTATCTAATACTAAACTATCCAAGTCATATAACAACCAGATCAAATGGCATTATCGCTGAAGACAAATAAAAGAAGAGTAAAACATTCCTGCATTACGCCCGCCAGCATATGAACCTATTCAAAAGTCAAGGAACTATACCCATTGTACAATGCAAGATCGTAACACATCAGTTCAGTTTGAAGGGCATGAAAAAGCCAAGATAAGCTGACTTGGCTCTCACGCAGAGACAACACGCAGATGATTATCCCAACGGGGTCGCGTGACCGTTTTGCATTCGTGGAACACGTACACCCAACCCCTACACAGCCACTCACCGATACGCAGCCGGATCGTAACTCGTCTGCTCCGTTGGCTGACTATAACCCGCGGTACCCCCGTAAGCACTAAACCTCACCCTTGGCTTCCGACGTCCCTGCACCGGAGCTGCATCGGAGTACTCCTCCGCCTCGTCGGCATGGTGCTGCTCCAACGAGCCAGCCCCATACGCAGGAGGGGGCGGCATCCGCTGGCTGGGATGGTACAACGGCTCCGGGGCGTGCTGGTATAGGGGTTCTTGATGGGGGTGATTGGCGTAATACGGGTGGTCGGCCTCATCGGGCGGGTAGGGACCAACGCCGCCGGACATGATGCTGCTGTCGCGGTTGTGCATCTTGTAGTCATTGAGAGCGGTGCTACTGGCCATGGGGTCGTACTGGCCCAAGCGGGTTTGGCGGCGGTAGACGATGACGTCCAGAGCGGCGGCGGCGATGTGGGATGTCGCGGCGACGATGGTGAAGGTGAAGAGGGCCTTGTAGATCCTGCAGACGCTGATGCCGGTGGAGGTGCCCCAGTAGGTTGTGTTGCAGGTCGTTAGGATGGTGTGGGCCATGCTCCAGCTTAGGAGGCCGAGGGCGATAAGCCAGAGGACGAGGACGATGCTGTTGGTGACGAGGTTGAGGCGCGGAGAGAGGCCATAGCAGCAGTGGGTTAAGGTGGTGAGGATATAGTTTAGGAGGGAGAAGACGGTGGCTATGAGGAGCTGATGAGTTGAGATGGGTGTTAGTGGAGTGTATAACACAGATGGTGGGTAATGTGGTTGCCTTACGATTAGGAAAGCCCACGGGAGCTTGTAGTTGTTGCTATGCAGTTGGTTGATGAATACGGCCAAGATAATGCCCACAATGAAGGTGGAAATCAGGCCGAACAAGCGAATGGTATGAAATGGAATCGGGGGGTATTGGGAGGGCTTGACTGATGCTCTGGACCGCATATTGGCGATGCGCTGGGATGAAGCTTATCCCAATCGCGGCGGGTGTGGGTGTGGGGTGGAATGAGATCGAGAATCCAAGTCGTCGATAAGCAATTAAGATGTCGATCCGCTGCGGAATGATTGCAGCGCGATAGATGTTAAGATATTCTCATGTACCAAATTGATGGAGGAAGGAAGGAAGAGAAACAGAAGTAAGGGAAAAGAGAGATGACAACAAACAGGAGAAAAGTCAAAAGGCAAACGGACGAGAGTTGCCATGCAAAGAGCAAAGCCTCGCTGTGGTGGACGATCGCGACTCCACTGCGGGTGTTGCTAAAGAAAGAAGCGGTTCGGGTGAGGATGACGCCGCTGCTGATGAATCTGCCCCGGTAACTGTGCGTGGCTCGCGGTTGGCGTCTCACCTGTGGGCCAGCGTGAAGTTTAAAATGTTCTCCAGCCTCCCCCAGGCCACCCGTTAATCTAACATGATAAAGATGCTGATGCTGATGCTCCTTTTAATGATTGTTAGCCTGGTATGAGTTTATTTTGGTGGTTGTGGAGGACAGTTGACACGTGCCCGACATCTGCCTACTTGGTCCATGGATCCACTCAGGAACCAGTGGGCATCTTCACTACTACTACTACACCATGTTATCCACGAATACACCATGCGTCATCTTGAATTCACTTGCTCATGAAAGGGGAATGCTAGAGCTTGATAGGTGCATGACGTTTTGCTTTTTAACTCATTGATGAATCACTCAGTGTGCTTCATGGTTACTAGGTGGGGATAACAATTCTAATGAGAAGCTCTCCACATCAGAGCTGTCAACAGTAGCTCCCATACTTATTGAAAGAACTGTTGATGCTCTAATCTAGCTGCTTCGTGTCATTCTTTTTAGGTACTCCCCCGCAATACACACCTGCGGGATGCCGCCACTTCACAGCATCGTGGTAACAGCATTCGTATCGATCTCAAGGACTCTTGCAATGGTTGTATCTATGCATACAGTGTTAAGTCAACTCCATCCTGTCTTGTCAAGTCTCAGACATATTGAGCAACATCAGAACACTAGGACACGTTTCGCTTACACAGTGAGAAGACGTGTCGAAAGTTAGGGCGAGCCAATGGAGGATGTCCCTACACTGAACTTGTTCAACTGCTAGCCATCCGAGTATGCTGTCTGGCATTTGTGGAAATATTCTAGGGCTATTGTCAAGGTCGAGGTGAATCTGACGTTCTGGTAGACTCGAGGCCTCCTCAAGTTCAAGGGCTATTCTTTTGTGAGTCCAGAGTGACAGAGACGGCCCAGAGCTCGCCCTTGAAACTGACGGCCTTCTACATTTTGCTCAAACTCCTGTCTTTCGCTGTTATATACCCGAGACGGTCCTTTTTGGATAAAATATATACTACTAGATCATGAGGTTCAAGCATACATCAAACAGCGCAAGGAATACAATTTTGGCATTGTCTTGTGACACATTCGTGGCATCCTCTCTCAACCGTCCGGTTTCGATTGGTCCACTATACTATTGGGGTATGTGGAAATTACATTGTATGCCGGCTATATCATCATGCAATCATTAGGCGCTTTGCGCGGATCTGGCATTGGGAAGCAAAGAAACAATAAGACGGGCTTTATAGCAGCTGCAGGTGAAGTGGAGGGTGCATGTGATGATCTCATCTGGCACCAGAATGGTCCGTGCACTGGTAGTGCCATGCTTGACCGCCTGTTCGCCGGTCGGCGCCAACCGATGCAGTAAACATGTCCTTACTTTCTATAATTCACTCTTCGTCTCCTCGTCTTCAGAACACTACCCTCACAAGCATGGAGTGTCTTCGTTAACCTCAACCATTCTGGGTCTATCCCACCAACACCAACCATCTCTAACACTCATTCGGCTTCTCGTGATAGACAGACGAAGATGCCGCCGCCCCGCCGCAAGAAGCCCCTTTCGCTAAGGATTCGACAATGGATTCATCGGCTTCGCACATGGCGCTCGCCGTTAAATCTACGCGGCAGCCTGACAAGACTACGGGCATTTGAGAGACACCCGATCTGGGCTTTGGTACGCCTTTTTATTCCGTTCCCTTCGTGGAAATTTCCCGTGTCCGACGTTATGCCGGCGGCGGAAATGATCGGAAACGAAGAATTACTTCTTCTTCGCCACGACAATATGATCGACCTGGAGAGCATACCGATTTGGCGCGCTCGCGATACTCCCTTGAGATGTTTGTATAGAATGTACGAAGCTATGGCATCTGGCGTATACGAGGTATTAGGCACCGAAACTGAATACTTTTGGTATCAGAAGGGGTGGTCATTACAGTCGATCAGCGACCCCAGGGACGAAGATCCCGTGCGCTACGCCATCATCGCATGTCTCGTTGAGGAACTTGTCGTTGCGTTTAATTGGCGTCTAAGTCTAGGAATGCGTCGGAACCGCAAGCACATCATCCGAAAGACGGAAGACGACCCGTGGCCCCCGTATACACCGCTGATAGGTCCTGCATGGACGGGCTCTGTTCCTGCGCTCTCGGCCAGCGACTTGGACGGATTACCCGGCCGTTACATATTGGAAGGAAAACTCGTCTTAGAGGACGGCGGATTGAATAAAATATTTGCGCGCCGCAACATCATTACGAATGTTGGCTGGCTTTATACGATCTGAACCGCAAGCCCTACGCTACCACGTTTTTTGTCTCGAAAGTAAGGAGACCATCCGCTTTACCATCTGGCGGTGTGCACGTAACTCCTTGCCAAGTACAGTCGAGAGTTCATAGCGAGCCCATTGCGCAACCCGACTGTCGGCGACAGCCTTTCAAACTACTTGGACCTGAATCATGCCGCCCTTGGAGCAATTACCCGAAGTCCCTCCTGCAAGGGACTGAGATGGCTTCAAAGAAATACATCCTCGCCATAGGTTGCCTTGTAAGCAGCAGCCACACAGTTCATGGTCTCGACGTCTGGCGTGACGTCAAAGCCATTCTTGTTCAGCGTGCGACAGTACTCCTTATCCAGCTTACCCCCCTTCCTCTCTTTCATGAACTTGAGCATTGCAACGGCATCGGCCAGATCAAGCTCCGCTTTGCGCCCCCTCTCCGCGCAGTAGATGCGGCGCAACTTCCGCTCCAGCGCCCATTCCACAGGTGCCGCAAATACGAGCAGGGTGCCACTGGCCCAGAGGACAATGTTTTGCTTGATGGCGTCCTCCATCAGGATCTTCCGCGTCTTCTCTGTAACGAACACTCCCACATCTTCGTTGGCCCAGTCCTCCATGTAGTGAGCCTCGTTGGCGACTTCCCGGATGGACTTTTGCAACGGAACCTTGATATCCTCGTCGTTGGCCCACTCCGGGTCAAGCAGGAAGTCCATGTCCGTAGTTGTCTTTCTGTTCTTCAGGTACATCACAGAGAAAAAGCCCCCTGCCACGATCATCCGGATGGGAGCAAAGGCCATGATCATGGGATCTGTGCCGAGTTTGGCATCCAACAATCTCAACGCTAGGAGCGCGTTATGGATTAGAAACTTTCGTTAGCCCCTGAGGTAGCACCGCGAAGAACTTACCTTTATGAAAGTCCTCCATGTCCAAATACACCTTGCGCTTTGTCATGATTGCGCGCAGAACGGTGCTAGGACCGTTTTCTGTGGACTTGGGAGGGCAGCCGTGGTGCAATGCATGAACGGGGGGGATGTTTGTGTTTGTCCTTTGACGGAGAACCTTGGGCGGGTTGGGGGGGGTCCCGCACCGAGATTCTGGGGTCAAAGCTGGAGGAGGGAGGAGGGGGGATCTCTTCCCTTTTTAAATAAAAATTACTGGAACTGGCACACGGGCCGGGTTGCTTATGTCAGGTTCGTCAGGGTTTGAAGTGAAGCTGGGCTTGAATGGCATTCACGATGTTGCCCTATCTCTCGCCAGGTCCCATATTGGGCTGTCCGCTGCATTTGCCTCGCATTAGTTGACACTTGTCGACTGCTTGCTCGAAGGTCGCTCGAGGACCCCGCCAAGCTGGTGAGGCGTCGAATTCCACATACCGCATCTAGACCGATCTGCGTCGGATACGTGGGTGATGCTGGATCACTGTGTATAATTCTGAACTTTTTTTTTTGCTATATATCACTTGTATAGTCCAGGTTAGCGTGGGTTGCTACGCTGTACATTATAGGATATCCATCAATGTATTATAGAACGTGTACAATGAATTCGTGGATGTCTTGGTCGTGGATGATGGCAATCTCAATAATGCTTAACATAGACCTGAAATAAATTCTTTATTATTTTCTTATCATATAGACTACGAGTCAATACTACTAGTCATCAGTCCAGATTCATAGCGGTCAGCACACCATCACCAGTAGCGTGATAAGCCCCGTCCCCGAGGATTTCTCCGCAGCCGAAACTGCAAAAACGCGTTATCGGGCTGCTGCCTCCGCATCGCCCTTGATACTTGAACACCTCTCTCTTCCATCCTCCTACACCTGGTACCTTTTCCACATTCTCACGAACAACGCCAATCCTATCCCCCCGTTGCATTTTCAACAACTCACCACCATCTCCAACCGGGATCCAACCCACACATAACTGACTACTACCCCTCACCCACCCCGCGCCAGCGCCAATACCAACACCAACACCACCATCATGTCCACCTACGAAGGTACTAATCCACCCCTTTCAGATGAACCTCTACTATCACCCCCCAGAACCCATCACTAACAAAAAAATAAAACCAAAACAGTGGAACACAACACCACCGACCCCTCCACCACAACCCCCACCAACAACAACAACACTACCAGCAACACAACCCCCCACCGCCACCGTCGTCCCGACCTCTCAACCTTCTTCTCCGCCCTGTCAGAAATCACCCCCGATGAAGCGCGCCATCGTCCCCATGCCGTCCCCGTTCCCCGAGACGTCAGCGCAGCATTCTATTCCCTAGCCGAGGCATTGGACGTGATGCGCCGCGACGGTGGCGGCGACGGCGGAGCTACAGCTATCCCCAGCGCGATCGGAGAAGTGGAAGGCGGCGACGAGAACGACCTCCTCACAACGATGATTCAGAGTCTGCTTAGCACGGCGGAAATGCCTCCTAGGGAGGTGGAGGGCGCGAGTGAGGAGTTTTGTGATAGTGCGTGGTTTACCACCCCCCCCCCCCCCCCACCAAACCATTCTTTCCCAACTTGGATCTCATGTAAAGGGTTTGGTTGTGGTTGTTTTTGGCTAACTGTTTACTTGCTGTCTGGTGTAATAGTGCTTGATCGCGTCCCCCGCACGCAATTGAATTCCTCCCAGGTCTGTCCGATATGCAATAACCCGTTTCTGGAGGATCAGTACCCGCTTGTGGTGCGGTTGCCGTGTCATCCGACACATTTGTTCGATTTGGAGTGCGTGAGGCCGTGGTTGAGGCTTAGGGGGACTTGTCCGCTTGATCGGACGGATCTCGCCAAGCAGGAGAGGGAGAAGGTGGAGGCGAGGAGGAAGTTGGCGGAGGAGGATGAGGAGGAGGAGGAGTGGGATGGGATGTATGCTTGATTGATTGTCTCATACTTTTATTCGAAGGGTCTGTTGAGTTGGGGGTGGGGTTTGGATTTGGGGGTATAATGAGGTATGTGAGAGTGGTTTGTATGGAGTTGGGGTTGGGTGATGAGGGAGTGAAATGCGTGCATATAGTTTTGGGTATGGCATGGAAATATCTATTTACTGTATAGTGTATATCTTTGTACATGTTCACATTATGAATGAATGGTGATGATGCTACCGCTTGTCTGCTCCATCCTTTGTGCGGATGGCCAGTTTGCCTGCCTTGTCGATGACTGCCTCCAGTCCACTACGTTCCAACATCCCTGCGTCATCCTTCATCACTTCCCGCGCTTCTAGCTCCTCGACCATCTTCTGGTTCTCGCGGTTTCCCTCTAGCAAAAACTTCAGGCACATGACGGCGTGTTCCTTGATGTAGGGGTTGTGCGCATCGAAGTTGGTGCAGGACAGGATAGTCTCGACACCACCGTAGCGACGAATTTGGTCCTGCACCTCGGGGCACTTCCAGACAAGAGACGACAGAACAAGCACGACGAGTTTCTTGAGGTTGCGCCATTCAAACTCGGACGGATCTTCGGTGATTGGCGGTGATTCGGCCCGAGAGCCGGGGGCATCAATCGGGTCCGGGTCACCGGGATCGTATGGGCGCTCAACTGCAACCGGCGCGGGAGCCGTGTGCTGGGGCTCCTTGGAGGGGTTGTTGTGTCCCAGGTTGAGCGCGCTCAGCTGACCCTTGGGAATGCTGGCTTCAAGCTCCTTGATTAACGTGACCAGGTCGTAGACAATCTCCCACTTGACCAACAGATTCTTCCAGTCGTTATTCTCCGTGAGCACAGCAAAGAACTCGAGGAACTGGTAGACACCCTCATAGACCCGCTCCATGTCCCATAGATTCAGCGGGAAGTCCTCAGGCAAAGCCCGCCCAGCTCGGATCTGACCCTGCAGATAGATCAAAGCACAAGTTTCGGGAATGATGTTGCCGCGGAAGATCGTGAAGATGTACCGGACAGTAAGGATGTCAACTCTAGAAAGCGGGGCCGGGTTCTTAGTCGCTGTTCCGTTGGGCTGCGTTGATCCTGTAACCGATGCAGGAGAGTACTTGGCTCGGAAGATATGCGTGAGAATCTTGACAACCACTGCCTGCGCGGGCGAAATGATGTCCTTGGGTTGGCCGAAATCGGAGTATGCATGAGACATCAAACCATTTTTCAAAACCGCGTCCATAATCTGAACCATCATCTTGAAGTAGAGTTCGTCATCAGGGAGATCCCAGGCAGCTATAAAGATCAGTAGCTCGCGAAGCAGGTTCCTACCCGTCTCCTGAGTGAGCAGAATGTGACATCTGAGGGCCTGCATATTCCTCGAACCACTTCTCTCCCCACCCTTCAAGCCGAAACTATCCACGATACCAGCCTGGATGATCATTGGCAGTGCCTCGATTTCTGCAGGGCCCAGCACGAGTGGAATATCAGTCAGGAGACCCCGCTGTTGGTCGCCTGGCCGGCCGCGATAGTCGTCGTCATCTTCGTCATCCTCTTCCTCTTCTTCCTCCATACTTCCGTCTGCAACAGCCTCCAGGCTTCGCGAGTCATCGTCACCGACCGTGCCTGCATCACCAGTGTCGTAGTCCTGATCACCGTCGCCAATCTGCGAGCTTTCCTGCAACCGGGCCATCAGTTCGTCTTTAGCCTCCTGCAGAGTTTCTGCCGCTGACTGTGCCGAACGCGGCATGCTCATATCTTCCTCCATGACAGTCGCATCGCCACCCGAAAGCGCACCGTAATCTCCAAGATCGGGAAGATCGGTCCAGCAGACACGTGGGAATCCAGCCGTTGCGCTGCGATCAATCGTAACAATCGCTTTCTTGCGAGGCGGCTCATCTTCTGGCAGAGCAGGAGGTAGGTCCTTGGCCCTGTCCTGGAGATCAGACCAACCATCAACCTTTGCTCCAAGTATGGCGGTAAGAGCGGCGCGAATCTCCTTCACCTGTTCTGGGTCCTTCCCCATTTCCTGTATGGCAGTCAAATCGCGTCCGAGCAGCTTTTCCATGTGATCCTTGATGTTAGCAAGAAGCAACATGGCTGCCTCTTCCTTGATGGTGGCAGGCTCTCTCGGAAAGTTTGAGATGGTTTCCAAGAGCAGATCCTCCGCTGTTTGATCGTAAAGAGCCCTTATCGGGGGATTTACTATCCTCTCTCCGGTCTTTACGATAGGCGCCATTCCTTCCTGCTGACTGCAAGCGGGGTCAAGGGGCTCCCTGGGCTGGATGATGTTCGAGTCGCCCGTTGAATGGTACCCAAACAAATCTAACCATAGCACCATCTTGCGTTGTTCGTTGTGCATGATGAAATTATGCAAGAACTGCAAGCAGGTGATAAGGAGACGCTTGTAAAGGTTGACAACCTTTTGCCAGCGCTCTTCGTTCCTTGCATTCGTCTCCCCGTCAAACCCTCGCGCGGTTACTCTAACGCAAGTATCTACCAGGGCTAAGATTCTCTGATCGAACCCTTTCTCCGCCGCCATGTTCTGCGCCTTTTTCGTGGTGGCGAGGAGGTTACGGGCAATCGTACAGAGATCATTTAGGCGCTCAATGTCCTTGACTAGCGAAAAGTAATTGTAGGCTATTAGATTGGAAGAGGAGTGATCGTAATTTGCCGTCGGGGGGCTCTTCCATGCAAACGATTGGGATTCAAGGACCGGGATCGCCTTCGTCAGTACATCTGTGAAGCCTTGCCAGATATCCGGTGATAGGCCAAGGTTATGTCTGTTACACGAGAGAATGGTCAGTATGCAGGAGTAGAAGTAGGTGGCGGGAAGACGGTAGTGGGCAACTGGACAGTGACTCCGGCCCAAGACAAGGGAAAGATATCGTCGTACCTGACATCGCTCTCCTGATGTGTCTTGTATAGAATCTGCTTCCCGGCAGAGAGCATGTGTTCTAAGCGTTTGTCGTCAATCATCCCGCGGGTTTCGTAGTGGCTCAAGGTCCCCGTCAGAATGACCTTCAACATGAGCTCCGCGGGGGTGCATTTCGGCTTGATCTCCGCTGCCGTGCGGTCGGCCATTTTTGACGATGCTTGTGAAGATTCGTAGCACAAGCAGCTATCCAGCGTTGACCGCGCAATTTATAGTCGGGAGGGGTGTGGGAATAACGACAATGAGGGACGCTCGGTGGAGAAAGAATCATTGAACCGTCGAGGGGAATTTTTCCGGCTCCGTCCCGGCAACTGCCTTTTCGGGTAATCTTACAAGGTACATGACGAGGGCCAGTGAATGTGAAGCATTCTTATTTAGCGAGTCATAATTTATATACATTCAAGTGAAGTTAGCAAACTATATACTTAGACCACCTTCGGTCGAATGGCTAAACCTAAGACATGACGCAGATTGTTCCAAAATCCCAGATCATAGATGTTGTCAATCTCCTTCATACTTTGCACCTGTACCCACCTCCGATCTATTGGTGCGTCCCTGTTACTCGGCTGCTTGATCTCATTGGAATCCCGCGATAGTAAGCATCCTTCCTTAGGCGGCTCACCATCGGTCAGTATGAGTACCTGATCACTACTCACTGGCCAGAAGGACTGAGCACTCTGGTACTCGGCCAACAAGGGTGAGCTGCCATAGATTTCGGCCTTGCTAGATTTGTAAGCCATGCCATCTGCAACCTCCTCTTTCAAGTCTGACCACTTTGAGCTTTCGTTGGTTGTCATACCAGCCCAGATCAAGTAGGTGTGGTACACGAGAAAGGCTGCCGCCAATGGGGCTGTCATGGTCATCAGCAAGGTAATAGCACCAATGCGAATATCCGCAGCGATAACTACAGCCCATATGTTGCAAAATCCAGTCCAGGTTTGTCGAGTTGTCCGCAAAGGTGAGCCCGGTGGTATCAGTCTGTCGTATGTTTGATACAGGAGAGTGTATCCCAAACATGAGCCGTAGATCAGCATGAGACAAAGTGACAAGATCATGGAGAGAAAAAAGTGGTAGTTGTGAAGTCCGACACAGTTCATGAGCCAAACGCAGTGATGGTCATGCCGTGCAACGCAAGCTTTGCAGATGCTGCAGTGTTTACTTCGTGCCGGCTTGACAATATGACATGTGCGACAACGCTGTCCTGGGTGGAATATGACCTTATCGTATGGATAGCGTTCCATTTCGACTGTGTAATTCTTTGGGGTGATGAATGACTTGGTAGTAACGCTTGCATACAGCAAAACGTAGGGCATGGTGGCAAGGATCGGAATCCATATATGATGGACTGTGGAGATCCTAGGCCAAGCAGTTGGGATGAACATACATTGCCCTGCAATCATAAGGGAAGAGAAGAATATCTAATATTCAGAGTTAGAGGAGGCCGTTGGATATCAGACACATGACTAACAAGGATCAACGGGTGATTTTCGTGCAAAATGTAACTACCAGAACAATTCCAGCAGTGAGACAGCCAGCCATTCAGTAGCCAACTGTCAAGGTAAAGAAGCCCATTAGGGATGTGTATCCAAAGAGCTCTATACAGCCAACCAATGGGAGTTTTGCTACAGGAAGCATCTATCAGTCACGGCCCTTACAACGAAATGCTGCAGCCTACCGAAACGCAGGGAGTCTCCCGAATAGCGCCACGAAAACGAACCCAGAGATCCCGAGGATCACAAGTGCAATAGTTCTTATGGCTCCCATCGTTAATAGGTTCTTGATTGTATCTTTGGGGAATTTGTTTCGGATCAGTCTGTTGTCTCCCTCGCCTTGTTAGTATGGGGCAAAATCGTAGTGAGAGCAGTAATGTCAGAGCTATGAAAAGAGTATAATGCCACCCTGTCGCTTAGACCAGAGCTGGCATTATCAGTTGACAGGCTTTGGCGCGCCTGCTTGCAACCACTATCGCCATGTTGCTGAAGCTGCCGCCCAAGTGTTCACCGGATATTTATTTTCCAGTAACAAACACGTGACGTAATTACCTAAAGGGGAAGAAATGAGCTTTACTACTAGACATCATGGTTTGGATCCATTCAGATTAACCTTACGTGTACTCTCATCCTTGACTTTGATTGAGACCTGACTTTTTGCATAAGTGTCATATAGATCGATGACGCTAGTCCTCTTTCTGAATAATCGACACCTTCACATGCACACTCTATCTGTGGTTCAACTTCCTTGACGCGCGGACACGTGAACACGTGATAACGTGTTTCTGTATACCCGCGGGTCTACAATTGAAAACATTCGCGCTTTTGACCTGACGATTGAAATGACTGAAACGAGCATTACAGGAGACAGTGGTGTATCAAGAGAGGCAGCAAGCCCCCTTTTTCAAGGGAAGCAGTTCTGGTTGTCTCACAACATCCCCCAAAGAAGATGGTTCAAGGAATTGATTGAGGTACTACAACGATGCATCGCTCGTATGAACGCGTGACTGATTTATCTATGGAAAAACGGCGGTACTATACGGTTGCTAGAGAAGGATGCAGATATCAGATTGGTTGATCATAAGAGAAAGAACTTACCCTCTGACACGTGAGGTTTCCTCCCATTTCCATCCTTGACTCACTTGTGTAATCGCATCGCTGGAAACTAGCGCATACTATTTCAGGCTTCTATCATCCAGCGGACACTTACAAGTTATAGGTACTCTTTCAAATATGTCGAAGACTCACACCGCCGGGGAAAGCTACAGAACCTAGAGAATTATAGAGCTGGGCCTTCTGAAGCACGCCCCGTAGGGGCTACCAACATTCCCACCCGAGGCCATAAGATCCCCTATACTCTTGAAGATGACCAGTTGCTCTGGGATTGGATGCAACCCCACGAGAGAAACCCTAAGGCCTCCATCAGAGGCAACAAGATCTATCAAGAGTTAGCCGAGAAGGTATCAAGAACCACCTCTGAGTTATGAAAAAGCAAGCATACTAAGTGTCATGTACTAGCATCCAAGGCACACGTATCAATCATATCGGGATCGGTACCTCAAAAGGCTCAAGGGGCATCCACGCCCTGGTGGCATGCCAGAAGCAACAGATCAAGCTGCACCTGATGAGCCCTCGAATTTAGCTACTCGCGCAGTCCAGTCTGAACTTCGAGGAGGGACTACACCAGGGGCTGAGTCTACTGCCATCCAAACAACTGACAAGAAAAGGAAACGGGATTCTGAGGATACTCCTGAGGAAGGCAATGTAGACAATCCTGACAAGCTTAGTCTGAAGAAACCAGCTACCGAGGTCAATATCAACCTTCCAGACCCTTTCATCTCCGAACCTCAAACAAAAGTGGCTGCAGTATCACATTCAGCGACAGCATCCAACGGACAGAGACCAACTCCTGGGGCAAAAGAGGCGAGAGAAAACGGGGCCACTCGAAAATCAAAAGCTCCAGCTAAGGAGCCACAGCAGCCTTCACAGCCAGACCCCCTGTTTCTAGAGCTCCCATTTTTGCCTTCTGATGATGAGCCTGAAGACGAAGATGTAGAGCAGGATATCGACGCATGGATCGATGAACGACTTCATACCGGAAAGGCTCAGCATGAGGAACAAATACACCAAGCACTGCGGTGCACCAGCATGGATCCAGAATTAGCTGACAGGGTCCTGGCTATCCTAGTAGAAGGGAAACCTATACCGGATGATATGCCCGGTGTTTGGACACCTGAAGATGACAAATGCATAGAAGGAAATGAGTCTCGAGGCATTCAACGAGTCATGGAGAAGCATGGGACGGAGGCCTTCAACAATCGCTGGGAGTACCTCAGCATGGTCAGAGAGGCCGGTCTTCTGGATACCCGATGAATAGGACTCCGCAATTTCAATATTCCGGAACCGCGAACTAATAAATAATAATGTACATGGATCCTGAGACGCTCAAAAAGGCACAAAGACAAAATTCCGGAAATCCCATGATACCCAAAGAGCAATAGTGCGAATGAGTTCGCGAAGACCCGGGGTAGCTGGCCCAGTCCCGTTGTATGCTGGTGTTGGTTCTCTTCAAGCTGGAGAACTTTATGGGGGTCCATGTCGAGAGTAGCCCAGGCCATTGTCTTACACTTAGGTTATCTTGAACCAGTAGTTGAAAATCCAAAAACACCCTATATGCTTGCTCCTTCAGGACTGCTTTGCAATTGCGCCTGTCGTGAATTTGACGATGATAGATAAAGAATCCGAACCTTAACGAATAAATTATTCAGCCCTCCTTGAAGACCCTGGTGAGAGTGATTAGCATATGCTCATATTACAAGGCACTGAATGAGGATGTCTTACAGATGTGATTCATAGAATTGAAGCATCTTTCTGCGAGTTAGCGCCGACAAAGAACCACGGTTCCCAGATAACTCACCTTCTTCGGGCACTTGTCGTAGCACATCTCTATGTTGACCTTTGATTTTCTACCATTCTTCCAACTGATAAACGCAAGCAGATTTGACGTTCCCGGTTGCCGTATGATTGTTTCCACGGTGTCGACCTCTTTCTCCCAGTTGCGAGATGAAGGAACCCACGTGGATGTTTCGTCGCTTTCAGCTTCATCGGCCTGCTCTTTTTCTGGTGACTCTGTTGTTGTTTCAGCCCGTGACTTGCGGCGTCTCTTGGGCTCGGGGGTTTTCTCAGGGGCGGATTTTGGAGGTCTTCCCATCGACTTGCGCTTCTTTGTCTGCGGTTGTGGCTTTTCAGGACGGCCCCCCAGGACTCGAAAGTACTCCTCGACTATATCCTTCGCGCCTTCTCTGTAAACGATCCATCAGTATCGTAAAAGTTGTATTGAGCGACGTCCAGTAGCATACAGCAGATTCTCTTCTGGCTCCCATGTCATGTCAGCGGGGTCATCGTAGCCCTGCCACTTGACTTGAAGAAGGAGGTCGCCCTACCAAATCATTAGCCAAAGCATGTCCTCTTGGTGTCAATTGAACAGGTGTATGGAAAGAAAGTCGCGCACCTTCTTAGTCCATTCATGGCTCATAATATTGTCAACAGCGTACCTGTTCATGTCAATCCCTGCTTGCGACAAGGTCGCACGCGCGCAAGCTTACACATCCTCTTCTTCCTCATCCTCGTCCTCGTCCTCATCGTCATCCTTAGAGGCATTTTTTGTTGACCGAGCATCGTTATAGGGAATCGACTCGCCACTCGACGATTCGTCATCGGAAATGTCAGGAACCGGCGCTGTAATATAGTTAATTTGAAAGTCGATCTCGAATACAGCATAGATGCATCAGTTTGCGGCTACTTACGGGGCATTGTCCTGAAAGAAGCAAAGCTGAGAAGTCGGGAAAACAACTTGGCGGATTTCGCGAGAGATATGCCACGGATTAATAAGATCACAGAGTAAATGACAAAGAAATAGACATTAGCGACGATGCGACATTAGTGTAGCTGAGGGTCAAGCTGCTTTGGGCGCAGATGAAATGCCGAGTCGCGCGGGCGCGCGGTGGGAAAACTACGCTATACCTGATATAGAAAGCAGCTCACTAGCCCGCTTTGGACATCTCCAGAATTTCGAATTGCAAGTGTGCCTCCAAGTCCCTCCGCCGTCCGGTCCTCTGCCTTCCCCCCATCGCTCCGATCAACTGTCCTGGGAGTCTACTCGATCCGTTGACTCCTATCTTTGACCCCCTTGCCGGCTTTTATTTTCCGACTCTCTGAAGTGGGTTTTCTGCCAAGTGGCAGACCGTCAAAATGGCGATGCGTATGTTGCAAATACCCCTCATTCGGCATCAACTATACTAACATTCTTTGGCCTCTTTTGCAGAGCTTGATCTTTCTCAAGGTGGGACCTTTCGCTACTCCGGACTTGCTTCGGTTTCGATATCCGTTGCTGACCATTACATCAGCTTCTGTAATGAAGGATGAACAGGGCCGGCCATTCATCGTCGTTAGGGAGTACGTTTCGATCTTCGACTTATATCAACACAAAGTGTACGGATTTCTTCAGGGCAGGTGGCTAATCCAGTTCTACAACACAGTCAAGGAAAGAAGAAGAGACAGCATGGCACGGATGCGGTGAAGTCACACATTGTTGCCGCTAAGACGGTCGCCAGCATCGTCAAGACCTCCCTGGTACGGACCGTCACCGGACTGGCAGAATAAGCAGTATTCTGATGGATTTTATAGGGTCCCCGTGGTCTCGACAAGATTCTGATCTCCCCTGACGGAGATATTACCGTTACGAACGATGGTGCCACTATTCTCGGCCAGGTTTGTCCTTCACCATCAGCCGCTACACTCGAGAATATCTCTGACCTGTTGATGCTGGAAAGATGGAAATCACGAACAACGTCGCCAAGCTTCTTGTTGAGCTGTCGAAGTCTCAAGATGAGGAAATCGGTGATGGAACGACAGGTGTCGTTGTGTTGGCTGCGGCTATGCTAGAACAGGCGGCCGAGCTCATCGACAAGGGCATCCACCCTATTCGGATCGCAGACGGCTACGACCAGGCTTGCGAAATCGCCATTGCGGAACTCGACAAGATCAGTGATGTGATCCCCTTCACCAAGGAGGACACTTCGAACCTGCTCAAGGTTGCCAAGACCAGTCTGGGTAGCAAGATGTACGAGGCTTTCTCCGTGTGCCCCTTGGGCCCTGCATGCTGACCCTAGTACAGTGTTTCCAAGTCTCACGACCAGTTTGCGAATATCGCTATCGATGCAGTTCTCTCCGTGGCCGACCTCGAGCGCAAGGACGTCGATTTCGAGCTGATCAAGGTTGACGGCAAGGTTGGAGGTGCCCTCGAGGACTCCCTACTCGTGAAGGGTGTCATTGTCGACAAAGATTTCTCCCACCCCCAGATGCCCGACGAGGTTCGGGATGCCAAATTGGCTATCCTGACCTGCCCGTTCGAGCCCCCGAAGCCCAAGACCAAGCACAAGCTCGACATCACGTCAGTTGAGGAGTTCAAGAAGTTGCAAGAGTATGAGCGGGAGAAGTTCACAGAGATGATCCAGAAGCTGAAGGACTCTGGCGCCAACCTGGTCATCTGCCAGTGGGGTTTCGACGATGAGGCCAACCACCTTCTGCTCCAGAACAAGCTCCCCGCCGTTCGCTGGGTCGGCGGCCCTGAGATCGAACTGATTGCCATCGCGACCAACGGTCGTATCGTTCCTCGTTTCGAGGATCTGAGCTCGGAGAAACTCGGAACCGCAGGCCGTGTTCGTGAGATGACCTTCGGTACCACTCGGGAGAAGATGCTCGTCATTGAAGATTGCGCCAACAGCCGTGCTGTGACGGTGTTCGTTCGTGGAAGCAACAAGATGGTAAGTTCGAAGAGATCGAGGAGATATCAGGGGACATGTGCAAGATGCTGACCCTCTCTTAGATCATTGATGAGGCCAAGCGTTCGCTCCACGATGCTCTCTGCGTCGTGCGTAACTTGGTCCGTGACAACCGTGTTGTCTACGGTGGTGGTGCTGCTGAGATTGCTTGCTCCATCGCTGTTGAGGATGCTGCTGTCAAGGTATGTCGATGTCTTTAGAATACGCGTCTAATTACATGCTAATGTCATGTCAACAGAGCCCCGGAATTGAACAATACGCCATGCGCGCCTTCGCTGACGCCTTGGACGCCATCCCGATGGCCCTCGCTGAGAACTCTGGTCTCAGCCCTATTGAGACCCTGGCTTCGATCAAGTCTCGCCAGGTCAAGGAGAACAACACCCGCCTTGGTGTGGACTGCATGATGACCGGCAACAACGGTTCGTATAAGACATTCCTTGAAACCTCTGGCTTTTTTGCTAATTATCCATCTATAGACATGAGAGAGCACTTCGCCATCGATCCCCTGATCGGAAAGAAACAGCAGCTGTTGCTTGCTACTCAGCTCTGCCGTATGGTCCTTAAGGTGAGTCGTCCAACCAGTTTTCTCCTGTTTGTCTTGGAACGCAGCTAATTCGAAATCTTACAGATCAACAATGTCATCATTGCGGGCGACGAGGACCAGGAATTCTAGATTTCTTCTGTATACAGGTTTTTTTGTTTCGATGGCTAAAAGTGACACAAACACTGGCGTTGCAGTCATGCGGAATCGATGATACTACATATAGTTCTTGCAGGTAATCAATCAGTCTCGGTGGTGCTATGGACGATAAACATAGCAGTTACATAGAATCAGTGAAATGACAGAAATGACATTCAACCAGTTCTGAAGTAGATGCAGGAGAAGGAGATAGATAGTAAAGCCCTTGAAAGGAGAATAAGGTGGGTTAACTAACTAAATGAGGCATATGTGAGGTGAAAGTGATATCAAAGTAAGTAGAGTAAAGTAGTAGTTGTGATATAGTATACACTCATCAGACATCACAATTTATGATGTAACAGTATTATCTAGTTAAACTAGATCCACAAGTAACTATATCAACTACTTAGTGCTTAATATGAATACAAGCAAACAATGGCGTCTCTCTCCAACTATCAGCACACCCATCAAACAAACCTCCGTACCTCTCAAACCACTCCCTCTATACTACTAAATCATACATGGACTATCCTAATCGTGAATTCAGTATCAAAACTCCCCTATCATCAACCTCCCCCGCCTCCCGAGGTCGGAAGATACCGCAACTTCGTATACGATAATCACTTCCTTATCAAATCACACACATACTGAACGCAAGGCATCAGACGTATCTCTCTGGATCAACCCAATCCACTTAATCACAGGTAGTTATCTAGCCAAGAGAGACACCCGGAGCGGAAGGGGGGGAAAGGAAGGTAACATATCCGCCGGAGGCGGATAATGCACCTGCACTGTAGTGAAGGTGCGCGGCCCGCCACCCCAACCAGCCAGCCGCCCGCCTGTGCCAACCGATGGAAGCCTTCAATCAAGATAAGGAAAAGAATGGGTAACTTTGAGAGTCAAAGTGTATTGCAAGATTGGTTGTTCAGATCACGAGAGTTTAAATAGCTGCGTTGGTCCACGTCACATCGTGTTGGATTGTTCATTCATTCTTCAGCTTCAGTTCCTCTGTTACCAGTATACCCTTGATCACATATATATATTGGTTGCCACTACTTATCTACTTCCCATCTTTCTATATATAACTTCGGTCTACCAGTACTATCAATATGGGATCAAACGATGAATCATCGTGGCGCCGCCTGAGCGTCGGTATTGTTGGTGGTGGTATTGGTGGTATGGCTGCGGCCATTTCGCTCCGTCGAGCAGGCCACGATGTGACTATCTATGAGCGTCATGATTTCGCGGGTGAGGTTGGAGCGTCGATTTCGTGCGCGGCCAATGGTACTCGCTGGTTACACGAATGGGGAGTCGATGTTGCTAAGGGCGATCCGGTCATTCTGCGCAAGTTGATCAACCGGGACTGGAAGACTGGAGAGCCTGTTAGTGTGTATGATTTGGGGGACTATGAGAAGCGTTGGGGACATGTCTATAACATGTTCCATCGGCAGTATATGCATGCTATGTTGAAGGACTGTGCTATGCAGGAGGAGGGCCAGGGAACGCCTGCAAAGCTGAAGGTCAATTTTCAGGTTCGTCGCAACATATGCTACCTTTGCTCTCGGGAGTAAAGGTCCGATTATATAGTTGGCATGCTAACGTTGAGAACTATACAGTGCAAAGATATTGATCTGAATTCCGGTGTGATCACCTTTGCCAACGGGGAGACTGCCCAGCATGACTTGATCGTTGGTGCTGATGGAATCGGCTCGGTTGTCCGTGGCATTATTGGTATTCATCCTGAAAGAAAGCCTGCAGCCTCCAGCTGTCTGCATACTAATGTAACGACGGAGGAGGCTGTTCGGCTGGGTCTGGTCGATTACTCGAAGAACAGTGCGCTTGAGTACTGGGGTGGCCAGGAAGGCAAATGGGATAAGATCGTGCTCTCGCCCTGTAACGGTGGTCGCTTGCTGTCGTACTATTGTTTCTTCCCTCGCGAGATGGGAGACTATGCAAGCCAGACCTGGGGTGGCGAAGACCGTCCCGTCGAGGAACTTCTCGCGCCTTATCCTCATCTCGATCGCCAGGTCTTCTCGCACTTGGCAATTGGCAAGGAAATCAGACCATGGCGTCTCTGGGTGCAGTGAGTACCCAACTGATACACTCTCACGATCGCTTGGAAGTTGTTTGCGCTAACGGTGGGCAGCCAACCATACCCATATATCTCCCGCAACATGGTTTGCCTTCTCGGTGATGCAGGGCACCCGGTATGTTTTGACCTACGGATTTGAACAATAGACAGTATCGACTAACGCATCCCACTGCAGATGATGCCCCATCAGAGCCAGGGTGCCTGTATGGCAATCGAAGACGCTGCGGCCTTGGGAATTATCTTCAGCAGGGCGCACTTCAGGGGCGATGTCGCCGATGCGCTGTCGATCTACCAGGAAATCCGATTGCCCCGGGCCACCAAGGTTCAGTCAGCTTCGGCGAAGGCAGCATATAATATCAACGAGCGCATTGGTAAGCGAGATTCACAATGCTAAAGTAGCGAAGATACTGGTCCTAACTATTCTATCCAGGTTTCTCTAGCAATACCGACACCGCCACCTATAAGGTTGAGGATGAGAAGAAGAAACTGACCATTGAGGAGATGAATGCGTAAGTTTTCTAGCCCATTTGATTTTAATCCTGGTACCATTTTCTACGTCCAGACTCTGACGATCAAACCAGATATGACATGCACAGAGACATCGAGGAAGTTGTCGCCATGCGAAGGGGGCTGCCGCACACAGACAAGTTTATCAGAGGGCTACCAGTCGGCTTGAAGCTAGGAAACGGGGTAGTTGTCGGGGAGCAAGAGACTAGCTCATTTCAGCCTCGGATTTGAGTACAGCATGCGGCATGCTAGTGTTTTGGGGGCGCAGCATTAGTTTCGCGCCGGTGGAGGAGTTCTTTCTTTTGGCGTTGTCTTGTATATAGCGTGATCATGATCTGAGATTGTACTTGAGCAGCTGATAGCATTTATCTACTATGGGTTAGTGTGATACGTACGGGGCAACCTTTTGGGCCTTCTCGAATGCGACTTTCACATCACTGCATAGACAGACCATGTGCCTGATCCTGGAAGTATTGAAGTTTTGTTTTCGTTCTGTTATGAAAGTTTTCACGTAGGATATACTATCCTACCGGCCAAAACCATCACAGTGTGCAGAGTTACGATTCGACGAAGACTCTGATGGCGCTCCGTGGTTGCTATCCAAATGACCTGTGAAGTTGATAGGATCGATTTCGGGCGAAGAGGGCCATGTGCGCTGTGTGTGCTCAGACACGGAGAAATGGATCAGCGGGATGTGGAGACGGGAAAAGGAGAGGAACAATGGGCTGACAGCTCAGCATGGGGTTAGTCGGTGATTGTGTGATAAAAGTACGATCGGCAAAAGGCCAGAAGATGATAAAAACATTGGTCGAATGAGCCTTATCAGACCATATTATACCAACATATGAACTGGAGCTATCCATGCGATCTGATAGGGACAATCAGAATGGGTGGAAATGATTTCCACGAAGGAGGGTGAGAGTGATCTGGTGACGGTCGTCTGATCAGCGGGCGATAATGCAATTGTTATTCGGCTGCCTCGTCAAGACTGAGAGGGGAGCGCGACCATCAATTGGCCCGGCGACTACTTTTTGTCATTAGTCGACGACTCAGAAAAGAACAGACGGCATTGCACATCAACATCCACTCACAACCCGTCGCGGAGGATATGATCGATAGCGCACAGGCGTGGTAAGCCCGATGCAATATGCATTTGCTCAGATGACCAGCAGTGAAACTCTCCCGTAAATAGCAACGTAGCTATGCGTCGCAAGAAGAAGCAAATCCGACTTCTAGACTCGGTCGATCGCGTCTATTCAGCCGTCACGATGCAGCTGATGTTTTACCGGACAAGCCAGCTTCTGCGCTTCTTCCCGGGGTCCTTGTACAGAAGCCGGTCCCTCCAGTAATATCGAGTCGCTATCCTGGAAAATCCTCGAGATCCCTGCACAACGGTAGAAATCTCTGCTCATACGAGCTTAGGAATAGCCGCCCGACAGGGGTCCATCGTCTATTCACAAGGCTGCTTGAGACGACATCATCGTCGAAGGGCTGAAGGTTTCTTCTGGTTCTAGTCCACCACATCCGCCCTCACTACTGCTTAAGCCTCTATTCCTATCGCATAACCGCTTGTGATTACCGGGCCTCGTCGATGAGCAACCTCCGCCATAGTCGATTACTCGGCAGGAGGCATATAGCAATCGCGAAACTTTGGTGTCATTCTTTTGAACTTTGGACAACGGGGCAGCCATCTACATCTCATCCTGCCTAGTTCAACGACGGCATGGAACCAGGAAGGAGTATATGCACCGATTAAATTACCGTAGATTTAGGAACTGTCACTGCAATTTGATTGCACATCCTGGACGGCCCTCGTGACAATACTGTCGTTGTTGAAAATGCGTATGCCATACTATCGCTCATATAACCAAGATCAGAACGCTTCTTCTCAAGGTCATGACATAGCATAGTCATGAGGACTTGGCTGGGCAATAGACCGTACGAACCGATGTGCAACCGCGGCTTGCATCTGCAGGTAACGCATCTCGTATGATCTAGTCGTCCAAGCCTTGGTAGACCGGCATGCTTTGTATGAGAAACGTCGAATGTATCCGCAAGGGATTCTCGAATCCCAATCATCGAAGCCAGTATGTAGTAACCGTCCTTCGATAGTAAACAGTCCCGTCAATGAATGTGGAATTCTGTCAGATGTCCCATGACTTCCGGTCATCAATACTATTCGGTGTGCAGGAACGGAAGCGCCGAAACTTCCAATTGCCTTTCGATAGAAGTATATGGGACGTCGATGTGGTTACACTCGTCTGGTGCCTCAAGCCGCCTCATCCGATCATTTTAAAGAGGCTGTATGTTAGAGCAAGGAGCACCCTTGTGCCTATGACTGGCCAAAGGAAGATGCAGAGGCATTTGATCCTGTCCGGAGGTTATTATCCTAATGACTTCTAGTCATAGCTTTACTGAATCAGCGTCAGTATCGTTATTGTCAGTATAATGTCGCTTCTGGAGGATGATCCATGGCTGCTGCTGACTCGCCTTTCCTTCCGAGCTATTGCTCAGACATGGGCCGTTTGCAGATTATGAGCTCACTTTGCAGGTGCTGCAGGCTTCCATGGACTCGATATGGAAATTCTATTCGATTGCGGCCAGGGTGGCATCTTGCATATCGAGAGATAGGTAGGAAGGCTAAGATCCCATTCGGAAGGTACCTCGATCTACGATCTGTCACCGCTGTTTATCATGTGATGGGGTGCATACAAGAGAGTAATCTGGCGGTACGGCATATTGAAGGGAAACAAACATATCTGGAATCAGCTGCAATAGGGCTAGCGTAGGACGTCTTTGTGCTATGAACAGAACACTGTCTTAGTAGCTTGTGTATGGTTACGACCTTGATGATTACCCAGCAGGTGACCAGAAAAGCTGCTAAGTATCTAGACAGTACCTCCTTAGTATGATGCTGATCCCGGACAAGAATATGTCCGATGGAAGCGCACAGCCCTGAAGTGAAGTCAAGGATGCACGATTGTGTAGAGGAATGATTAAGCGGCCTCGGTTAAAGCGGCGATGTCCCGAAAAAAGAAAGTCCACGCAGCGCCAGGAGACAATGCGCAGCGGTTACCACCCGCCATCACATGGCTGCGAGCATCGACGTGGCCGGCCTCCGTTCGCGCCAAAGTCCACCATGATTCTGTCTCGTGGGACCTGAGCAGAATCCTTCCCCTTTTCTCATGACAGCAACTGACGATCAGGGCGTCAAACGAGGAGCCGTGGCGTGTTTGCAAGGAGATGCCTTACAACAACACTGTTAAGCAATCACCTGTCGCTGCTTCAATATTGACAGCGATATCTCTTGGGCGCCCATTTTTTCTATACCGCTACTTCGGACTTGGGCGATTTCAGCATCACACGACTGCAGGAGGTGATCCTAGCATCTGATGATGCTCACCTTTGGTATGTGCCTTTCTTTCTTTGGTCTCTCTGTAGCCTTACTGTATGTTGAGACTCGTAATTGGAGTATTTACAGTATTTCACACAATTTCCGTCGGTCTGTTTTTCTGTCTTTTTCCATGCACTCTATTCCTTGGTACCTCACAAAAGTACTACATCAAGTCAGGTACCAGCCATGTGAAGACATACATCTAAACATTCACGAGGAAATTAATTCATACCATCAAACTCCGATCCAGACCATCTGGGGCCTTTTTGATTGGCAAATCCGCACCGCCAGATATACATCTCTCACCCCTGGCTATGCGATCCGATTAGCCCGTTCACCCTCGACACCTTATATATTGAACCAATAGAGATAGCCAACCTGGACTATATTCTCTCGCTCTAGTTTGAATGCACTTGGATCTAAGCCAATAGCCTTTGCAACCACCTTTGACATGAAACGAAGCCCACAGCAACTGCCGATTAGCTGAGAAACATATCCGAGGTGCAAGTCACATGGATGGGACATGGCGGCTGTCAACCTAACTCTACCGACTCTTTCGGGGATACCTTATATCGCAAGGTCATGCGACAGCCGGAATCGGTGCCTGATCTGCCTAAACTTGAACCGATTTTTTCTTCGTACTACACTAAATCGAGCTTGTCTTTGTTTCAGCTTATCGCAATGAAAGATTCCAGCTATTAACCAACACTTACTTGGCCGCCCCATGAACTCTCTGTTATGAGTGTGCTATCCGACCATACCCAGTCGGCAGATGATGACGGTTATGGGAGCACGCCCATATAGCTATGTGACAAGTCTACTAGATGATCCCAATCCGAACTCTCAGCCTATTGCGGGGAAGGAGTGCTAACCCCGGGAACCCCTGATCCAGTTATTGAACCCCATGGGCCCAGCCCGCCAACTGGCCGCATTCATCATCCACGAACAACAACTATCTATAGCAGAACGACACGGCATATAGACAGTGTCATACTTCCAACAAACAACAGACGAGTCTCACATTCACAGGGCCTAGAATAATTGATCGACCATAGCAATTCAACACACACCCATGCGTAATGATGACTCCCACCTGTACCCTGCAGCGACCGGACCAGTTGCTATGATAGCTATTAACCCACATCAACGGCGGTATCAGCCAACGTGTAACAAAAGCGCCCTAAATCAGGCAAGCAAGAAGTATACAGCCCTGTCATCTGACACGAGGATTTTTTTCCTCTCTCTCTCTCTCTCTCTCTCTCACTCATCACCCCCGATTGAGATATCACTTACTAATTATAATCCCTATTTGCTTTTTTATCTTTTTGGTCTTTCCCCCCTCATTTGTTTTTCCTAGAACCAGGTCTTGGGATTCTGCCAACGTTGCACAACGGAAAAACTAATCTCAACTAGACAACTAGTAGTTAGTCACTTACTGCACATGCAACTGATGATTTCTCAACGGACTCCGTACTTACAGTTCTGCATGATAGTACTCTAGACCCTACACCTGTTCATGTATGTTATGTACATATGTACCTAGATGGGTACTTACATGAGTGGTGGGGGTGTGGTGCAACACACTGCCACTTACCGTAAGTATTTGGTTGTGTCTTTTCGGCGGTGGGTGGGGGTCGATCCCAACCGGACAAGGTATCTGTGAACATGCCTGTTGACCCAAATACCGGGACATGCAGATGCGATGACGATTGTTTCTACTGCTCGGTTTATTGCCTCATCCTGGTTCTACTTTTTCTTCGGAGATAGCATCCTTACCTAATACAATTTTTGATGTTCTAAATGATCTAAGCCATAGTAGTTACTCATATAGCGATAAAATTATAAAGGGCGCGGGTATATCTACCTATAGTATACGTAGTAATATATTATCGAAAAATATGTAAGTCCATACATACATACTTACTTACATAACTAATGATCTACTTTTAATTATTGTCTTTCAAAAACATACATACTCGAATTACGTCCGTCCGTCCGTCCCTGAATCAAGGAGTAAACCACTACCACTACCTCTACCTTACTATAATTCTTCAGCAAGACAAGGCATACCCAAAGAGGCAACCCGCTGGCTAATTCTACTTTACTTACGGTCAATTAAAAGAACTTTGCGTGATTTATGTACGGAGTACTTAGTAGTAGTAAATATAGATAAGGCGTAGTGGATACAGTTATCATCTGCTATCAATCCAAGGCAAACATATGCATGGATCATACCTAGATATCGCACACAGTGAGCTAGGCTAAGTAGTACTCAGGTAATTGAGCTGTATTGTCTGTTGTAGCACACGACTTCAGTTACACTGTATTCCTCGTTTTCGCCTTGGTGGGGGGTTGATCAATCCGGGGTAATTCCGTGAACGTGCCTTTCATTGCTGCAGATTTGGGAGAATGGAAGAGGAGGTGGCAAGTAGGTAGGTAGGTGAATACACAGTTGGTTTCCTTGCAGGATTGGGGAAGAGCTCTCAAGACAGATAGATGAGGGATAGATGGATAGCTTACGTGGCTAGGTAGGAGAGAGATAGAAGGGAGGGATTTTTTTGATGGATGGCTGGTGGATGGAAATAGTAAAAGGAAAGGAGGTCCAAGTCCAGGTCCCGGCCCCGTGTTCCAGTCCAATAGGACTCCTACCGTTGCTCATTCTTCAGTCGGGAGAGTTTGAAGCTATGTTTTATATTGGTTTTATCGCGTGTTGAGGATTTGAGGGGGGAGGTAAAGGGCACGGAGTAGGGAAGAGAAAAAGGAAAGAAAGAAAGGGCAGAATTCAGATTTACCGCAATAGGCTTCCCGGAGCACGCACTCAGTCAATCAATGATGTGTATGTGGGTGGGCTTGATTTGTTTTTTCCTTTCCTGTTCCTCAGATCCTTGAAATGCGATCCGCGCTATAACCCTTGCATTTACGTGGAGAACCCACCATTCCCCTGGAGGTCAAAGCGGGCGAGAGCTGCGAATTTGCATGATCTGGTAGCCGCTAGGCTGGGTTCTCGAACAAAGGTCGGATTTTGAACCGGTCTATTTGCTAACCAGTTCCTGGTAGATTGGCCCTTTCCTGGGTTACATGACAAGAATCGTTCATGGGTTTTGGCTGGTCCGGGGGATGCGGCCCGGGAAATATGGAATGTGACTTGTTCAGGAGAAACGGCGGTGCTACGTACCACGTCGATTCCCCATCGTATGGCATTTGACGGGAAGGCAGGAAACAGCAGTGAAAGACAGTAAGAAAGAGGGAGGAATTGAAGAAAAAAGAGACTGTGTGTGTGTGTGTGTGTGTGTGTGTGTGTTGGGCTTTGTGCTCCGTAGCAACCCATACACTAGTGCTGGCTTATGTGAGTGGTGGTACCCGGCTGCCCTGTGTTTTCGGGTCGTTATCCCTTCCAAATGCATATCCCGGGAGTCGATATCCGTGCGCAATCCAAGCTTTAAGCTATGCATAAAGAATTCAAGGGCCGGAGAAAGTTTTGAGATCGTCTCAAAATAAGGCTAGAGTTCAGGAGGCAATTTCATCCCAATATGAGGCAATATCCGCCCTGGTGAAACGGTTTACATATGATTTGTGACCCCTGGGATTATAATTGGTATCAACAACATTCTCGGAAATTTTGGCGATCGTAAGAAGTTCCCCAAATCGCAAGCTTTATTCATGGGATGGAAAACGTCGATAGCGATAGCCAATCCACTACTACTCTAGGTGAATGCCTGAGTGTATGGCACCAGCCACAGCAACATACCGTAGATCATGTCGTGCAAGATCCAGACGGTTCTATGATCTACAGTGCCGTACTCAGTAGAGTTGAGGCCACTGTGTTCCTGGCTGACGCCCTACTTCGGCCAGTCCCAAAGGAGGAATGGCAGACTACCTATAGAGGAAATAGGCAACGGGCGTTGTGTTCACACAACAGCATCACCGTCCCTGTAGTTGTTCCCAGCCTGCGCGTCCTGTCGAATATCTCTAGTAGTGACTAAGGTCGGGCGGGAGTACTCCGTAAGACACCGGCGGCACCTGCTGTTTATCATTCTTTGTCTGCAAGCTGCACTTGATGCATGGTGCCTTATCCGGTGCCTCTAAGCCGCTGTTTGACGTGATGCAGCTGCGTCCAGTAGCGTCCTTCCATCCCCGTTGGCTTCAAGTCAGCAATCGATCAGATCATAGTGTGTCGGCACTTTCGCAGGTCAGAAGAGCAGTCGACAATGGCGGAGCCGAGTAAAGGCCGTATGGACGATACTGTTTCTATACGGTTCGATTCTGTGTGTGATTGTAAACGAGTCAACTCGGTGTATCAACCTCGATTGAGCATGGATATGGTAGAGAGAGATAGATAGACATGGAATCCCCTTCAGCCGCGACCAGTGGCGCATTAATGCCGCGGGACGACCCCACATCATGTGACGAAGAAGCTGTCTTGTGACTCGGGGGTGGGCCTTTGCCACTGCGGGTTTGTTTGGTTTTTTGCCCCCACGTTAAAGGGGGCGGGCGGGAGATGAGGTAACATCGGTCAGTACGGAGTAGTCAGTCCTCTGTCACTATTGTAGCTAGCTAGCTAACTAGCTGTGTTTTGTACACTGGCAGGTGGCATCTGCATCGACTCGCTTCTACGCCACGGAGTAATAGTCGCCTCTGCCTGTTCTACCAGCAAGGTAGGCGTCCTGATGTTGTCGTTGGGCCTCGGCAACTTTCTGTCGGCATGGACGTCAGCGCCCTCGATCAAGTGTGGATTGCTTTTTCTTGCCTTCCACTGGTGTACCCCCGGGAGTCCCTCGGATGCCCTCATCGGTTGACGGATTCTCCCGAACAATCGAGGTCATCTCGAACAATGACAACCAATCGTCAATGAACAGTTGGTTGATGCCCTGGGAATTTGTAAAGTTCTTCCTACATAGGGAATCATGAGATAGCGCCCGGGTTCCAACCACGGTATAATTTTCACCTCTCGTGCAAGCATCGTCATCATCATCCGGAGAGTTTACCTGGATAGGCTCAACAACACGGAGAGTATGGAGCATTTCCCATCCCATTGTTAGGGAATGACTGGGACCTCCCATAAGCTTAACCGGCCAATGTACCCAGATAAGAATGTAGCTCCGTAGAATTCTGGAAAAAGGGCGTCAACCATGGAATTTCCTCTGTTCTTCATGGCACACACCTGCAAGAGGTACGCCTGATGAATCGGAGTGTGGTCGAGTGGGCTAGGGCGCAGCTACGTGGCTCCCTCTAGAAGCATCGCTGTGGAATGATTCCATGCATGAAAGATGGCAGCTGAGCACTTGGATCATTGAAAGCGGAGGTGTCCGCCCCCCAGCTGCAAGCGAAGCGAATAAGCTCACCATGTTGGCGGGTTTCCCTGATTCCCACCTGCCAACAGAGCTTTGGTGCCTAGGAGATAATGCTGCTCTTGGTTATTGTCTGCATTGAATATGCAAGAAAGACGGGTGTGGGCTCAATTATTAGCTATTGAGCTTTACTTACTATCTACTTACGTTCGCAAATGCCGATCTTGACTTAGTAATTGACTATCACTGTCTAATTAATAGCGCCTGTCTAGTCTTGGTAAGAGTTTATATCATTGCGGGGTTTACCTAGGCCAGCCGTCCCCCGATATTAACTTCTCCTCCCTAACATAGAAGAGTGTGTATGAGTGTGTATAGAGTAGTACTTTCCCCATGCTACGGGGCATTCCGTAGTAAGACGTTTACTATCCGGCAATGCGATCGACTTAAACCAGCAAGTGACCACAATGTGAACCGCCTTGCAGATCGTTCAACGTCGCTACTAGTCTACTACTCAGTACTAACTCGACAGGGCCTTGTGAGGCTTGGAAACTCCCTTTGGGCCCCAATAAGCCGACGAGGTCACGACCCCTCCACATCCAGCCCCTTGAACTTCTTCTTTTGCTTTTCCCATTTCTTTTTTTTTGATAATTCCTTTTGAACTTTCCCGTATTTCATACATCGGAGAAAATTTGGAGATGGTTTGGATGAAGATGGAAAATCAATCTACACCAACGGGAAGCCCGCCTTAGTGAAGCAACTACTACTGTACAAGCAGATGACGGCTTTTACTCCGAAGATGAAACAGCAACTTTTTATTTTCAGTTTACAACTCATCCATCAGGTGTTCGGGGGAAGGAACCTGGACCTTTGACGTGGAACATCACATGATTGTAAAACGTGGGCTGACGGCTTGGGAACTGGCTGGCACTGGCTGTCAGTTTCCAAAAGGGCAGTGGTGATGGTGAATCGGGCGGATCTTCTGAATCCTAGTTCCCCGAACCACTCACCCGGGGATCCGCGATGAAGGATCAAGTGTGGCGTTTTAGTCTATTATTGATATTGTTATTATTCGCAACGGGGCGTTTGGGAAGTTTTTGCAAGGCCCCGTGACAGGAAAAAAAAGGGGGGGTGGTGGTAGGGTGGGAAGGAAAGGGCTAAACCGAACAGGCGGGTAATCAATCCAGGTATCTAACTACTACTCCTTGTGAACGATTGTATCATACGTGTTGTATGTAGTATCGCCCCCCGTTCTTTTTTATTTCTTATTTTTAATTTTCTTATTTACATTATGTTGTTTGGGGATATACTACTACTACCTACCGTTTCCCGCAAAAATAGCATCACAAGTACTTTAGTGACAGCTGGCAGGATTTTCGCCTTGTGACTATGGACGGGGTGAGGAATGAGCGACCACGAATACTCTGTTGTTAGGTCACTCAAGTTAAGTATACCAGTCTCCTGAGACCGGTATTCGGAAGGGATACATAGTCACTGGACATGTGTACTTTGAATCTCAAATCAAAAGTGCTTGGGGTATCGTGGCTTGGAGGGTAAAAGGGCATTGAACACTGGCGATTCAGGGTACATACATACATAACTGCTGCAGACTTCAAAGGGGGCAATGAACTGATAAGAGGAAGGAGAACTATGAAGGTGTGAGATGATCATCCAGATCGGAAACGCTGCGCTCTTTCCCCGGTATGCGACTCCGCCTGGGGCATTTTGCGAAGGTACATACCACCACCGGCTAATAAGAACAAACAGCAAGGAAGATCAGTGCTCAGGCCATTTCAGCCGGAATACTGAACCATCCACGTCGACATATCATATGGATGTAGGAAGTCAGAGTTCGATCAGACACGCTTGAGCCTAAAAGGGGATCAGGGTCGATAAGTTGGGGATGAGGTCAAGTGCCGGAATGCCCGGTTTCAGAACTAGGTCGGGTAGTCTGTGTGTAAGATATTGATGTCCAAGAGACCGGGTAACAGGAACGTGGCTTGGGGAGGTGCCCAGAATGTAGACGGTAAAACCCATGGTTTCCTTAGTCACATATGGATATCAAGAATCTGCCCGAAACCAAGCATGTCCGTGACGAAAGCAGTTGAACTGAATCGAGGAATAAGTCACTAGTCAGCAGGACATAACAATGATAGCCCAGCGGTGGGTGATGGGTGAAGTGTCAAATGCCCCTGACGAGGCGAGGGATTAGGCACGGTGCCTAGATTGACAGTAATGATGAATGAATGGATCTGGATGCTGGGTACAATGATGGAAGTGGCTATCATCGTTAGGTCTTCAATAGTAGTGATCATTAACCCAAATCCTACAGTATGCCAGCCCTGGCGAATTGACAAGTGCGGAGTGATATCAGCAGCACTTCGCCTCGGCCAATCGTTCGGGACCCATTTTTGAGAAGTCAAGTGACCCGATCGATTGACTGGTGAACTGTTAAAGATGCCTTGTCCTTAGTCAGCCGAGGCGATGGTCACAGGACGGGTTGATCTTTGTTTGAATGTTTGTCTAGAACGATCCCCTGTGGCCTTTTTTCTCCCTCCCCCTGTTGTCATTGCTATCTCTCCAGGGGTTTTGCTTTGTCGGTGATGCATACATAGTGCTGCCGGTCCGAGATGAAGCGAGAACCAGGGTGAATCAAGGCATCAGGTCACAAAAACTTTGAGGCTTTTTTGAAGGTGATCCATTTTGGGGGCTGCTGTCCATACCTGGACGGTATTAGTATGTATCTATCCAGATCCAGGGTCAAGCTTCATCTGGTTGCAAGTGTTGGGGGGATGGTGTGGACGCGTTCACCGATGTATAGCTGGCCCTACTGGGTTTAGTGAAGTACCTGCCTTCCTACTTGACTAGTAGTATTGTTCTTCAATACCAGTTTCGTACTTTGTTCCAAAGTGGGACTCCGGAAACAGACCGATGGTAATATTACCGGTGTTATAACGATGTATGAAATACCAGTAGACCCACGGGGGTACTCCGGATGTACCATTGCGAAAGGGGAAATTTGAATTTCAGAAAAATCAAAAAATCGCAAAATGGAAAAATAAAAAAAAAAGAACGCAAATAATCCCAAGATTAATCACACATCCGGGACCACGGATGGGGAGGAGGCGCGGCTAGGAGCCCATCCTTGTACTTACCGCCATCCCCCCATCGCTGGTCAACCACAGTACCTCTCCCTCGGTACGTACCCCCATCGGACTTTTCTCTTGTGGCCACCGTCAAATTCACATTTTCTGCCATTTTCTGCCTCTTTTTCCCTTTTTTTCCCCTTGTACTGAACCCGTTACCAGTTCATACCGGACACTCACTCATCCACCCTCCCTCCCTCTTCCCCCCAATGCTCCACCGACCCGTCCGTTAACTATCTTGCCTTTTCCTCTTTTCTTCGTCCGCTCCACCAGCCAGACTAAGGTTCTCCTCCCCCATATTCCCCTTCGATTTTTTCCCTTCCTTCTTTCCTCCTTCACTCATTCCTCTCGCCCATCACCCTCAATCCTCACCCCCACGTCCATCCCCGACCTCCCTGAACCGGCCATATCTACATACTTCGCGCCAGTACGCCTGAACCTTCGTTCAATCTTCACCCACCCCGACCGTTTGTCGTTTTCGGTCGTTTCTCTCTTGGATAGGTAGTACTGGAAAGTGTGAAGGATCCGCTTACGGAATCGGCTTCGATCAATCGACCTACCCCGGATCGATCTCTCTTGCGCCATACCACCCTCCATCTCGCACAGCAATTGTTGAACTCGACACTTGCTGCACTTGTCGGGCAGCTTGGGCGCCACTTTTAATCTCAATCGACTTTCTGCAGCACGCTGCAGAACCCAAACTTGGAGGCGTTACTCTCAGTAACCTTGGAGGATCGAAGAGGTCTATTTCGCAACTTCTCGCGCCGAACGACCACGCTTGGGGGAGACGGCGACCCCGAAACTACACTCCTACGGGGAAGAAAAGAATCGTTTGAGGAACTTCAACATATTCGAAATTGTGGCGTCGTTAGAATGGCTTCGCGTTTTTCAACCCCCGTTCTGACGGTGGATACGGCCAAGATCCATAAGGTCGACACAGCCAATGCGCAAAGTCTTCATGGCATGTGGATGGGTAAGTGCATCTAGTTCGTTGCGGGTATCAGTCGCGTCTGGTGGCTGACAATTGACTTCCCGAGTTTAGTCTTTTCGAAATGTGCCGACTATATGGAGGAAGGCCGACGTCTGGAAAACCTGAGCTGGCGACTCTGGACACGTGAGACCTTCTGTGTGGAGCCGGAGACCTCCAGCACTACTTCGGTTTTGCCACTCCTTCGTTCCGAAGCTGGGGATTTGCCAGAACTTTCCGCGAGTGTCGAATCGGCGGCGTCGGAGCAGGCTGAGCGGATAGAGCATCACATTAAACGCCCGAAGTGCTTGGACTATAAGCCGGCGGTGGTGCGTGAGGATTCGATGGCCAGCCTTGCTCGCGGAAAGGAAAAGCATATTACATCTCTAGGTTTGGAACGGATGGTGCTGAACATTAAGGAGAAGAAACACCTTGAACCCATTTCTACCGTCATGTCGACAGTCGAGCCCCCTGTCGTCGATATTACACCACGTCCCTCGACCCCTACTCCCGCCACCCCTCCTTCTGTCTCTACTGCGAGACGGACGCCAACCCCACCCCCGTACCCTCTCAGCCAACAACCGAACCAGTCCACTGAGTCTTGCTCGACTACTGCGCCCGAATGCAATGACAGCGATAACAATGGCAATACCGCCGGGTCTGATACTAGCGTTTCTTCGTCCGGCATCCTTACCCGATCCGAATTGATCAAGTCGCCAAGCATCGTCCGCGGATTCTCTCCCTCTGTCATTTCTTCGTCATACCGGTCGCAACCTAGATTGGCTGCCGAACCTGGCCCGGCCAAGCCTCCAGCACAGCTCAAGCCCACTCCCTTCAAGAAGAAGGGCGGCATGTTCACTCTCGGAGGCTCGTCGGGTGACGACGATGAAAGCTCTTTCGAGGATCGCATGGCAATGCAAGGGCCCCATCGCAGTTCTCTTTCTGATGAATTGAGTAAGCCTTCGGCTAGTGGCCAGGATCTGAGGAAAAAGGTGGCTTCGTTCAGGGACCAGAATGAAATCATCAAGCCCATCCGTGAACGCGCTATGGATAACGAAGATGCCGTCGAGACGGACGATGAGGTTTCTGAGAGTGCTATCGAGGACTCGGACTCGGACTGGGAAGAT